TCTTTTTGAGATGGTCTCACTAAGTTGCCTAGTCACACTATGAAATTTCGATATAAATTTTTTAAAAATGAGCACATGGCAGCTCCTAGGTATAGTGGGGGAGAAAGTTTATTGTAGATTCGAGGGGAGAAAACAGCCAGAGAGGCATCTGCAGGGGTCCAGGCTGAACCAGGCCATGAAAGGCAAGGGAGAGAGAGGAAGCAGGAGCCAAGAGAGCTCCCTGTGACCAAGTAGCCAAGAGAGAGAAAGGAGCAGGGGTGGAGCCAGCAGGGCCTAGAGGGCAGAGGTCAAAGTGTCTGAGGTTATTATATAGAGATCTGAGAGGCTGGGGGAAGGGAGTGAGGCTCAGGGGCTGGAGAGGTTCGGGATGGGGCTGAGGTGAGAAATGCTGAGGAGCAGGTCTTGGTGATGCTGAGACTGGCTGCCAGCCTCAGGCTTGATTTGTTAAATAGGCATATCAGGACCAGAGATAAGGATAATGACTCCTTTTAGCAAGTAGGGGCTATCTCAAATCCCTGAGGGAATACTGGCTTTTGTCTAACTGCCACACTTGGGGAAAAGGAATTTCTTGGGATCTAACACAATCCTCCTGCCTCAATCTCCACTGTAGCCTGGATTAGACACATGCTCGGCCAGGCCCAGGTAGCATTTAGACTTGCTTCAAGGACTTGCCCTTTCAGCTGCTTGCCATCTTTTCCCAACAATATATGTTTTGGTCTCCGAAGCATATACTTCTTCACCCAGCCTTTGACACGCAGAGGCCTAAGAACTTTAAATATTTAAAACCCAAACTATGGGTAAAGGATAGGGTCTTCAGAATATCTACCAAAGACAATAGATTGGCTGGAAGATGCTGGGAGCCTCCCTAGTCTCTGGGCCATCAAACTTGGAGGTTGCTGGGGAGAGCCAAGATGCTGATGAGAGAAAGGGAGCGCCTGGGTCCTGGGGGAGTCCTGCAATTTCCTTTTCAGCTACTTTGAGAGGGAAGTGAAGTCAGTCAACAGTCTCTTCAGGTAGCCCCATAGTCAAAGAGCCTGGTGGACTTTGTTCCTGGAATCAGGGTCAGAGCCAAAGCTGGACATTAACTAATTTAACCAGTTGTAGTGAAAAGCAAATACCAGGAAGAAAACAAAAAGATAAAGTGGCATCTTCTCACCCAGTTTGTCTTCAGGATCCTAACATGAGATTTAGGTTTAAGTAGGAGGCAGAGGTGTGTACAACTATGTCAGCTCTAGTGTCTCTTTTGAGGTCTCCTGACAAATCATTTTTCCCCTTGACATGTTTTTTTTTTTTTTTCTTCTGCTGTTGCCAGGGTCTCATCCAATTCCTACCAAGAGATTGCAGGCAATTTCCAGTTTCTCAAGATGGTCATGGTGGGCCACACCTTTAATCCTAGCACTCAGGGGGCAGAGACAGATGGATATCTGAGTTCAAGGCCAGCCTGGTGTATAGAGCAAGATCCTGAAAGAACCAGCTTCCCTTTCGGCAGCCATAACAGCCGAACATGTGCTTCTATGACCTTGACCTAGTCACTAGAAAGTCAGATGCCTGTCTCTTGACAAGGAACCAATCGGAAGTTAGCTGGTGGCGCTATGCTTTACGACCCTGGGTGTGCTTTACGGACTAGCGCACAGCAATGATGTAGAGAGCATAGCAAACACCCTGGGAGGGTCAGGGTCATAACAACAGTTGACCAATCAACACAGGGCAAGCCTGGAGGCACACCAATCGTGAGCCTGTCCGTACCCCTAGACACTCCCCTTACGCTGCCCTATAAAGATCTGTACGCAGCAGCTTCAAACCATCTTTTCTAGCTGTCCGCCATGGTGGGTGGGTGAAAGACCCGAGCTAACATGGGGTTAGCTCGTTAAATTACAATAAAGCCTCGTGCAGTTTGCAGCAAGCTCTCGAATCCGCCTGGTGATTGGGGTGACCGAGAACGTGGCCTGGGACCCTGGATACTTGAGTTTTCGGGGGTCTAACAGAGCAAGATCCCAACAGCCAGGACAATACAGAAAAACCCTGTCTCCTTTCTGTGTCTGGTGGGTGGGGTGGGTGACTGGAGAGATGGCTCATCAGTTAAGAGCACTTGCTATCAGAGGACTGGAGCTGAGTTCCCAATACCCATTTCAGACCCCTGTCAACAATCTGTATGTAATTCTAGCCAGGGAGATCCAACACCCTCTTCTGGCTCCCATGGGAACCAGCAAGTGAGTGTGCATTCCCCTATACAGATATAATTACATAAACTTAAAAACTTAAAAAAAACCCAAACTTCTGCCAAGAGTTTTACCACTGCCTCCAGGGAGGGGAGGGGCACGTCACATGATTGTGTTGGTCAAAGAACAACTAGATGATGCCTTTACTTACTGAGCCATTTCTAGCCCAACCAGCCCCCCCCCCCCAAAAAAAGAGCAGGGAATATTATTAACTCACTATGACACTTGACACTTGAGTTATGGCCAAGAGCTTTTACTGACTTCCATACGAAAATGAAAGTAGCTGAAGTGGAGTCTTCAATTTTTTTTTTTGGGGGGGGTTGTTTTTCAAGACAGGGTTTCTTTGTAAAACTGCTCTACCTGTCCTGGAACTCACTTTGTAGACCAGGCTGGCCTCGAACTCACTGACAGTGCTGGCCTTAAAGGCATGGGCCACCACCCACCTCCCATCTAATTTTTTAAATTTAAGATTTAAGCCAGGCATCAGGTGGCACACCTTGATCCCAGCACTGGAGAAGAAGAGGAGTTGAGGCCGGCCTGGTTTACAAAGCAAGTTCCAGGATAGCGAGGGTTACACAAAAAGACAAAAGATTTAATTTGAAAGAGAGAGAGAGAGAGAGAGTTATGTGAATGTGTGTCATATATGTTCTGGTGCCTGAGGACAGAAGAGGGTGTAGGGTCTCCTGGGAGGTCCTGGATCTCCTAGAATTACAGGCAATTGTTAGCCTCTCTTGTGGATTCTGGGAACCAAATTCAGGTCCTCTGGAAGAGTAGCAAGCACTCCTAAGCTCTGAGCTTTCTCAACCCCTCTGGGTAATGTTTAACTACGCAGATTTAAACAACTTGAGGACTCCATGGTAAAATGTTGGACTCTGAGGTGTTTGGGGGTTTGTGTGTGTGTGTTTCATTTTGTTGGCTGTAGGTCAGACATGGTATTTAACTCTGTAGCCTAATAGGAATTCCTCCTACTTCAGTCTCTCAAGCACAGGAATAACCCACCACTCCAACAGCATTTGAAAACTTGAAGCTTCTTCCTATTGGAGACCTTTCCTTGTCTGCCAGTTTCCTAACTCTTTGGCTATCCCAGTACTTAAATACATTTATTTTACCATATGAATTCACAAGGACAAGAATTTGGCCCATTTAAAAATAAACAAATATTTAATTAGCACTACATTTTTATTAATTTGGGAAGGAATGATTTTCTTTTAATTAAATATGAATTCCAAATCTGGTGAAACATTTCTCAGTTTGTTCAGGACAGACTTTAGGTTCATTAATAAGATTGGATCAAGTTTAGTATCTTTGTGAAGAGGTCAAACTAGTCTACGTAGTGAGTTCCAGGCCAGTCAGAGCTTCAAAGCAAGACAAAATCTCAAAATAAATAAATAAATAAATGGAAAAACGACCTGTCATTTATTGTGCACACCTGTCAGACCAGCACTAGGGAGGTAGAGACAAGAAAATCAGGAGTTAGACGATCAGGAATCCAGGTCATCTACAGGTACATATGAGATCTTGTGTCAAAAAACAACCATACAGCCAGGGCGTTGGTGGCACACTCCTTTAATCCCAGCACTTGGGAGGCAGAGGCAGGTGGATCTCTGTGAGTTTGAGGCCAGCCTGGTCTACAGAGCTAGTGCCAGTATAGGCTCCAAAGCCACAGGGAAACCCTGTCTTGAAAAACCAAAACCAAACCAAAACACAAAAGCTGGGGTGATGATACACATTTTCAAACCCAACACTAGGAAAACAAAGGCAGGTGATGTCTCTGAATTTTAGGGCAGCCAGCTTTACATAGCAAGTTCCTGGCCAGCTAGGGCCAGCTAGGGCCAGGGTGGCCTGGTTTGGGGGAGAAATTAAAAAAAAAAAAAATAAAATAAAATAGGGCATTAGTGGAGCAGTACAGGCATGTAGTACCAGCATTTGGGAGGTGGAAATGAGGATCAGAAGTTTAAGATCATCTCAGCTACATGAGATCCTGTTTCAAATAAGAGATTTTTTTTTTTACATACTCTACACCATTTTATTTTTGTTGTTTTTTATACTCTTGTTTCTTTCTCTCTCTCTCTCTCTCTCTTTTTTTTTTTTTTTTTAAAGACAGGATTTCTCTGTGTAACAGTCCTGGCTGGCCTGGAATTCTCTGTGTCTACCAGGCTAGCCTCGAACTACTACTGCCTGTCTCTGCCTTCCTTCCAGGTGCTGGAATCAAAGGCATGCGCCACCAAGGCCCCTCGACCTGATAGCTCTTTTTTTTTTTTTTTTTTTTGGTTTTTCCAGACAGGGTTTCTCTGTGGCTTTGGAGGCTGTCCTGGAACTAGCTCTTGTAGACCAGGCTGGTCTCGAACTCACAGAGATCCACCTGCCTCTGCCTCCCGAGTGCTGGGATTAAAGGCGTGCACCAACAACACCCGGCAACCTGATAGCTCTTAAAACCCCTTCCAACACTATGATATTGTAACACTAATTTCTAAGGGAAATGTTCACTGATGCCCAGATATTACTTCACAGTGTAAAGTTATTGCTGATATTCGGAACATAGTTCAGTGTGCATACCATAGGTCCCTTTCATCACCCTAACTTTAAGTAGGCTTAGTAGAACATGCCTGCCAGCATGTGGTAGAGACAGAAAATCAAGCATTCAGGGCCAGTCCTGCGCTACTTAGTGAGTTCTAGGTCAGACCCTGCTTCAAATAAACAAAGAAATAATAGCTCTAAACTTAAGATAGCTGTCAGGGTTAGAGTTATTCTTAACTGCTACCAACTCCTGTTTAATTACAGATCATCTTTAGATGGTGGAAGATTTCCCTGAGAAGCGAGTATCGGTCAGCAAAACCTGGAGAGACAAAGGAAACTCATGAAGATTTTCTAGAGAACTCTCATCTTCAAGGTGAGGGAGGCAGTCACTTCCCAGCACTTGTGGCAGAGATGGATGACAGACTTCATACTTGTGTAATTATGGTCTTAGAAATAATAGGCTGGGGCAGGGTAGTGGAGGCACACACCTTAAGTCTCAGCACTAGGGAGCAGAGGCAGGCAGATTTATGTGAGTCTGAGGCCAGCCTGGTCTACAAAGCTAGTTCCAGTTCCAGGACAGCCAGGGCTACACAGAGAAACCCTGTCACATGAAGAAAGAAAAATAAAAAAGTCAAAAGAAAGAATAGAATGTTGGATTTGAGTTTTACTTTTGAGGATTTAAGAGGTACTTAGAGGACCTAAGTTCAGTTGCCAGCCATCCATAGGATGAGGGGCTTACAACTACCTGTAACTCTAGCTCCATGGAATCTAGTGACCTCTTCTGATGGCTGTGAGAAACTGCACAACCCACACCCACATAATAAAAATAAATAAATCTTTGTTTTTTCTAGACAGAGTTTCTCTGTGTAGCCCTGGCTGGCCTTGAACTCACAGAAATCCAACTGCTTCTGTCTCCCAAGTGCTGGGATCATGAACCACCATTGCCCAGCTAAAATACATCTTTTAAAAATCTCTTTAGAGGGGCTGGAGAGATGTCTCAGAGGTTAAGAGCACTGACTGCTCTTCCAGAGGTCCTGAGTTCAATTCCCAGCAACCACATGGTGGCTCACAACCATCTATAATGAGATCCGGTGCCCTCTCCCTGCCTGCAGGCATACATGCAGGCAGAACATTGTATGCATAATAAATAAATAAATAAATATCTAAAAAAAAAGTCTCTTTAGAGGCTGGGCGGGGATGTCGTCACCTTTAATCCCAGCCTTGGGGGGGCAGAGACAGGATCTCTGTGAGTTTGATGCCAGCCTGGTCTACAGAGCAAGTTCCAGGATGGGCTCCAAAGCTACAGAGAAACTCTGTCTCGAAAAACAAACAAGCAAACAAACAAAATCTCTTAGTGTCGTGTCATTGTCTGGGGAGGTTCGAACAAATGTCTGTTTGCCCCAGACAGAATAACAATAACAGACCCAAGATGTGATTCCACCCAAGTACAGTGAATATACTGGGTTAGTCATGGGCATATATATGGTGACTCAGAGACATCCGTGTCACTGAAAAGCCCAGCACTGAGTGACTGATGACTCACAAAGGCTGTGTCCCCATATACCTTACAGACAGCTCGGTTGTCATTGTTGCTCATCTTGACCCTCCCATCTTAGAGATCCATGCAGAAGGACTTTCTCCCTCAGCAGGAGAGAGAGAGACAGAGAGGATGCTTATGGCTACACATAGCAGGTTTCAGAGGTCATTCAGCCAGCTGGAGCCTCAGTGCTGCCACTAGCCAGCTGGTGTGACCACAGTGACAGCTCATCCCCTTTGTGAGTCGGTTTCCCGTGTGCTGGGCTAGGATAATCATGGCTACTTTATTCAGTCATCTTGAGCCTTCCCTGACTTGCTCCGCATTATATAATCAGCTCTTAATTATTGTTTGCTGTATTGTTAAGCAGACAGCATTGGACTGGACTTATTTTTCTGTCTCTTGGTCTTCCCTCTAAAATCCCCTACAAGATTTTCTCGTGCAGAGATCCTGGCAGAGGGTCTGAGCATGTCACTCTTGCTGACTGGGCCTCTCAGTAAGGAGATGGTATTTTCTGTCATTTGACTTTATTCTCCACCCCTGGTTCCTTTCCCTCATTGACTCCTCAGTCTTCAAATCATGATGATGGGACTGGGAATTCAAACCTGTGCCTTTCTTCTGTCTGTTTATAATTACGCCCTGGGGGATCTGGTTCAATCTCTAGCTTGCAGTGCCATCCATAAGGGCTGGAGAGATGGCTCAGTGATGAGGAGTACATCCTGCCCTTGCAGAGGACCCAAGTTCAGTTCCCTGCACTTATGTCAGATGGTTCACAACTTCCTCCTCTGGTCTGGTCTTGATGCGATGCTATATACCTGGTGTTATTGTAGAATATTATGCCCTGTTTGGTTAATGTCCCTGGGAGGCCTGCTCTTTTCTGAGGGGAGACTGAGGGGACATGGATATGAGGAAGGGAGGAGATAGGGGAAGAGAGACTGGGGCAACCGGAGGGAAGGGAAACTGTGGTCCAGATGTAAAATATGAGAGAATAATAACAATAAATAAATAAAAATAAGAAATAAACATTTTACATGCTCCTCACAGGGGGGTAAGTCCTAAGTTAGTGTCTCTCATCTGACCTTCTTTAAACAACACGATCAGCGAATACCTGCTAGACCACCAGTGTATCAAATATAGTTTCCATAGCGGGTTCACTGGGCAAAGGTACCTGCTGCCAATCTTTTTTTTTTGTTTTATTTTGGTTTTTCCTGACAGGCTTTCTCTGTGAAACAGCCAGAACTGTCCTGGAACTCACTCTGTAGACCAGGCTGGCCTCGAACTCATAAAGATCTGTCTGACTCTGCCTCCTGAATGCTGGGCTTAAAGTTGTGCTCTCCCCATAGCCCCCTGGCCTCCCCCCACAAGCCAGGAGCTGTCTTGAAGGCAGATCTTCCAGTTCTTTCAAGCCTTTAGATGACACAGTGACACAGTCCCAATCTCAACCTCAGGAGACCCTGTTTCAAAAATAAACAAACACAAAAGAGATATTTTTCTGCAATGTCTCCACTGGCGTGCCTATCATCCCATCATTCAGTCAGTGCAGACACTGCCTCATTAGCCAGGGCTGCCTTGAACCACTAGACAGAAAATCACAGCCTTTCTCCGGAACACCATGTCTTCCACATTGTCAAGTGAGACACTGTGCATTCAGCCATTTGTTCCTTGTCTCCTTTATTGTGGTGGGAACTTTGCTTGTTGATGGGTCTTTTGGTACCACTTAGAACAATGGCTGGTACACGACTCAGTAAATAAATTATCCTATGAATTATTGAAGAAAATTCTTGTTTTTTTTTTTTAAGATTTTATTTATTTATTATGTATCCAACATCCTGCTTCCATGTATATCTGCACACCAGAAGAGGGCACCAGATCTCATAACGGATGGTTGTGAGCCACCATGTGGTTGCTAGGAATTTAACTCAGAACCTCTGGAAGAGCAGCTGGTGCTCTTAACCTCTGAGCCACCTCTCCAGCCCCCAAATTCCCAGATCTCATAACGGATGGTTGTGAGCCACCATGTGGTTGCTAGGAATTTAACTCAGAACCTCTGGAAGAGCAGCTGGTGCTCTTAACCTCTGAGCCACCTCTCCAGCCCCCAAATTCTTGTTTTTTTGTTTTTGTTTTTGTTTTTTGAGACAGGGTTTCTCTGTGGCTTTGGAGGCTGTCCTGGAACTAGCTCTTGTAGACCAAGCTGGTCTTGCCTCTGCCTCTGCCTCCCAAGTGCTGGGACTAAAGGCATGCATCACCACCACCCGGAAAAATTCTTGTTTTTTTTCCCTTTTTTTTCTTCTTTCTTTATTTTTTTCATGGGAAGGAAGTTTATTGGAAAGGGAAGGGAGAGAAGGGACAGAAAGAGAGAAAGAAGAGACAGGGGTTCTTTTTTGGCTTTCCTTTTTCTTTTTTGGCAAGGCGTTTGTATATAGCCTTGGCTGTCCTGAAACTTGCTATGTGGATCAGGTTGGTCTTGAACTCAGAGCTCTATCTGCCTCTGGCTCTTAAGTGCTTGGACTAAAAGTGTTCAAGAACATTCCTGGCCTTATTTGATTTTTAGAACTCATTGTTTTATTTTTAATTGTGTGTGTGTGGGGGGGGTTGTGTACATACAAGTGTCACCAAAGTCCAGAATAGAGCTTCTGATGGTTATAGATGGTTGATTGTGCAATCTTTGGGAATATACCAACTTAAGAGACCCCTGGCCTCCATCAACCAACTAGGAATGTCCTCAGGTAGCTTTTGAGGTGTGTAGCAGAATTTCCTAGCCCTTCTACCACCCCACCTTGCTGCCACCCTCTTGCCTGACATTCCTACCAGTGTATTTGAAAAATGCCTTGATCGCTGGGCAGTGGTGGCACATGCCTTTAATCCCAGTACTCTGGGGGCAGAGGCAATTGGATCTCTGTGAGTTTGAGTACAGCCTGGCCTACAGAGTAAGTTCAAGGACAGTCTCCAAAGATAAACAGAGAAACACTCTCTGGAAAAACAAAAACAAAAAACACCTTGATCTATGACTCTCTATGTCCTGATACTCTAAAAGCTTAATGAAAATGTTATGTTAGAACACAGACTATCTGTCTTCTCTCAACGTGTTCACTCCTGTTTGCTCCAGAGTAAACTCTGACTTCCTTTGAGGTTGGAGTTGTGGTTTTGCAGTAAGAGGTATTCCTGAAGGGAACCTCAGTGGCTCTGTCCCTGCATCCTGAGAAGAACTGAGCAGGCGTGTGTTACTGGAGAATCTGGGTTCCTCTTGGTGGGCTTAGTCTCAGTGATAAAAGAATTTAAAAACTGGAGAAACTCAATGGCCATTTTATTAAGGTTTGAGAGAAAAATCACAGGGCATAAAAGCTGTATATCCTGGTAATGGCCAGGAGGAGGTTTCAATCAAGCAGGTGGGGGGGGGGGCAAGGAGATGGCTCAGCTGATAAGAGCGCTGGCTACTCTTCCAGAGAACCTGGCTTTGATTACCAGTACCAATGAGACTGTTTATAACCTGCTGTAACTCTAGTTACAGGGGACCTGATGCCCTCTTCTGGCCTCTATGGGCACAGTATGCGCATGGTGCAGAGATATACATAAAAATTAAAAAAAGAAAGAAAGTGGGTGTGGTGGTGCACACCTTTAGTTCCAGGGAGGCAGAGGCAAGCAGATCTTTGTAGCATGGGCTACAAACTGAGTTCCCAGACAGCCAGGGGTTCACAGAGGGAGGGGATAGAGAAGGAGGGAAGGAAGGGAGGAAGGAAAAGGGAAGGAAGAGAAAAGAAAAAGGCAGGCAGGGATGCAGGCAGCTTCAGCAATGGCGGTCTGCAGGCAGCTGTAGAACTAAACGAGAAGAACCGGAGTGTCAGGGCAAACATGCTTAGTGTCCAAAAAAGAGCCAGCGAGGAGAAAAGGAGGAAAAGTATCTTCTGGGTTAGAACTGAGACACAAGGGAGGCCTGGCAATGAAGCATAAGCTAGCAGCTCCTGGTTGACAAAGAAGAAGACTATTCCATTGTTCAGAGAGGAGTAGATGCAGCCAGATGTAGGCGGGGCCTGAGGATGCTAGATGCATTGTTTGGAGAGAGCTGTGTGTGTAGTATCGTAAGTGAAGGAGTGTGTTATTGGAGTAGAAGAAGGTAGCATGGTGACACACACCTTTAATTCCAGCACTTGGAAGGCCAAGGCAGGCAAATTTCTGTGAGTTTGAGGCCTGCCCACCTGGTCTACATAGCCCACCAGGGCTCTGTAGAGAGCCCATCACAAAAGAAAGAAAAAACAAAGCAAAACACATTTCCATTCTTTGCTTATTCAGAGAGCTGAGGAGTGAGAGGGGTCTTGTTTTCTATTTTAAAATTTTTATTATACTCTGTGTGTGTGTGTGTGTGTGTGTGTGTGTGTGTGTGTTTGCGCGCACGCAACATGCACACTCGTGTGCATGTGTGTCTGCAGCACACATATCACAGTAACTGCATGAGTCTGGAGGTCAGAGGACAAAAGTGGGAATTGGCTCCCTCTTTTCACCGTGTGGGTCCTGGGGACTGAACTCAGCAGCCGCCTTATCTGCTTCACCATCTTGCCAGTGTCCAAAGCCCCCTCTCTCCCAGCTACTCTTTATAATCCGAATGAATGGTCCACTCCTGGCTCTCCTGAGCGAGCTGTCTCACTACTCTGGCTATTTTCTGCCGTCTGGTGCCTTCTCATCTCTCACTGTACTTCATCTTCTGCCATCTCCACTGCTCTCTCTGGCTTTCCTAGCCCTGGCTGTGTCCAGTCTGCTTTTCTCTCAGCTCTGGACTCCTCCAGAGGCCTCTGGACCTGTTCTCTTAACCACCAGCTCCCTAATGGGGTGGTCACGTCCACAGTTTCTTTACCGCACACCCTCAAACACAACTGGCCCATCTTTTTTGCTTCTACAGCGAATTTATGTTTATGTCAGGCATTCTATTAGTCTATTGTTTGTGAGCTACAGTCTCCTTTGCAAGTAACTAAAATGTCTAAAAATACAAGGCAGAGTTGGGCATGGTGGCTCATGCTTTTAATCCCAACGCTGGTGAGGCAGAAACAAACAGATCTCAGTGAATTTGAGGCTGGACTGGTCTGCCTAGGTAGTTCCAGGGCAGCCAAGGCTACATAAAGAAATACTGTCTCAATCCCAACTGCCATTTAAAAAGGAAAATAAATATACAAAGCAAAGCTATCATGGTTTTCGTGAAATATGTTAATGCTGTTTATCTTCACCTTATATTTGCTAAATTATGAAAAGACGGGGATGGAAGAAGGTGGAGAGGAAGGAATTTTAATAAGAAATAGTAAAATAGTCGGAGTCAACCCGAACTCAGCATACTGCGGCTTCAGATCATTTGGGGGCTGGAGGGAAGGGTACAAGACCTTGCTGTCCATCACAGAGGCAAACCCCGGGAACTGAATCTTTCAAGTGCCACATTCAGAAAGCCCTCAGGCTGGAGAGCCCCAGTGGAATCAGTCTCCTCAATCCTCTCCTCATTAGCATTTTTATAGAGAAGAACCAAGAAATCAATTCAAGGTCCAGGCTTATCCTTCTGACCAGGTGGCTTTTGTCTCTGAGGTCCCCTCCCCCCTTAGCTCTCCATCACTCTCTGCATAGCTGGGGAGGTTGTGGACACCAAAGCCAGAGTCTTGCATTCCTCCTTTAAAATTATTCTCTAAAGATTTATTTATTTATCTTTGAAACAGGGTCTTTCTGTGTAGCCTTGGCTGGCTTGGAATTTGCTATGTAGACCAGGCTGTCCTCAGACTCTGCCTCTGCCTCCCATTGGGGTTAAAGGCTTGTGCCACTGCAAGAAGGTAAATATTTATTTTTATTATTTTATTTATGAGTATGCCCAGTTTTCTGTCTGTATGAGCTAAGGATACATGTGTGTGGGTGACAGAGGAGACCAGAAGAGGGCTTTGGATCCGTTGGAGTAGGAGTTGGATCCCTATAGCTGGCTGATAGTAGTACTGGGAACTGAACTCAGGTCCCCTGGAAGATCAGCAAATTGTCTTAACTGCTGAACTATTTATTCCTCCAGCCTTCATTCCTTCTCTAAAATATTTTTTACAAGTGTGTGTGTGTGTAGCAGAGGGAGGGGTTGTAGACTTTTTATTTTTCCAGACAGGGTTTCTTTGTGTGACAGCTCTGGCTGTTCTGGAACTCGCTTTGTAAACTAGGCTGGCCTCAAGAGATCTGTCTGCCTCTGCCTCCTGCCAGCAGCGAGTACCAGCTGGGTGTGCAGACTTTTAATCCACTGAATCTTTTTTTTTTTTTTCCCGAGACAGGGTTTCTCAGTGTAGCTTTGGAGCCTATCCTGGCACTCGCTCTGGAGACCAGGCTGCCCTTGAACTCACAGAGATCCGCCTGCTTCTGCCTCGGGAGTGCTGGGATTAACCTGCTTCTGCCTCGGGAGTGCTGGAATTAAAGGCAGGTGCCACCAACGCCCGGCTCCACTGAATCTTGCAGCCCTACTCAACCAGAGAATTCCTGGAAAGAACCTGTGTCTAAAGAAACAGATTGGCTGAGCCAGGCATTGGTGGCAGAGAGGCAGGCAGATCTCTGTGAGTTCTGAGACCAGACTGGTCTACAAGAGCGAGTTCCAGGACAGTCTCCAAAGCCACAGAGAAACCTTGTCTCAAAAAAACAAACAAAAAAATTATTTGTTTATTATGTATATAGTGTTCTGCCTGCATGTATTCGTACAGGTCAGAAAGGGGTACCAGATCTTATTACAGATGGCTGTGAGCCACCATGTGGTTGCTGGGAATTGAACTCAGGACCTCTGCAAGACCATCCAGTGCTCTTAACCTCTGAGCCATCTCTCCAGCCCATTCTTACATATTTGTATTCATGACAGAGTTTTCATTTTTCCACAACAGAGCCAACCCCATCAACAGCACAACAAACAATTTCCTCCCAAATCCACTCCCTTAGTGCCACCAACAGCTTGGTGAGAGTAGGAACGACTGGTTTTCTCTGTGTAGCTCTGGCTGTCTTGGAATTCACTCTGTAGACCAGGCTGGCCTCCTGAGTGCTGCTATTAAAGGTATCTTCTAGCACCACCTGGCTTCCAAGACTTGTTTCTTATTGTTGATGGTTTTCATGTGACTGAACGAAGTAACTGTTGGTTTGTGGTTTGGCTTACAGTGCAAATCGCCTTAATATTTGGTGCAAGGATATTAGACTATGTCTTCAACATGTGCGAAGGGAAATTTGACTACCTGGAGCGGCTCTCAGACAAACTGCTGCTGAAGATCATCTGCTTCCTGGAACTCGAAGATATTGCCAGGCTCTCTCAGACATCAAGCAGGTTTGCAAAGGTAACAGTTCCCACTGCTGTGTTGACTGCTACAACAAGGGCCCTCCCACTGAGCTAGCCTCAGGGATCCATATTGCTCTTTTTCCTTATTTAGGTTATTGCTATTTTATTTATTAATTGATTCATTATCATTGATCAATACATTGATTTAATGTATATAATGTTTTGCCTGCATGTATGTATTATGTGCTATGTGCATGCAGTACCCTTGGAGGCCAGAAGAGGGCATCTGATCCCCTGGCATCTGTGAACTGCTAAGCCATATGGGTGCTGGGAACAGAGCCCAGGTCCTCTGCAAGAGTAGCCAGTACTCTTAACTGCTGAGCCATCTCTCCATACCTGAGTATCCTTCCTCCCTTCCTTCCTCCCTCCCTTCCTTCCTTCCTTTCTCTTTCTTTTTTTCTTTCTATCTATCTATTGACATAAGGATTTATGTAGTACATGCTAGTCTTGAACTTCTTTTTCTCTCTGTCCTTCCCTCCCTCCCTTTCTTCCTCCCTTCTTCCTTCCCTCCCTCCCTTCTTTTTTTGTTTGGTTAGGTTTTTCAAGACAGGATTTCTCTATGTAGCCCTGGAACTCACTCTATAGACCAGGGTAGCCTCAGGGATCTGCTTGCCTCTGCCTTGCAAGTGCTGAACTTAAATGCATGTGGCACCATACCCAGTTTAGCCTTGAACTTTGAATCTTCCTGTTTCTACCTCCCAAGCATTGTGATTATAGGCCATGCCGCGATGGCCAGATTATTTTTATTTGAGATAGATGAAAAAGTGTCTCTTTCTGTAACCCAGGCTGACTTTGAACTCATGGCAATCCTTCTGCCTCAGTCCCCCCAAATTCTGGGTTTATAGATGTGACCTACCATGCCTGTTCTACTTGTGTTTAATCTCCACAGCCATTTGTTGAGTCCTGCTCTGTGACAGACACAAGCAACTAAGATGGCATTATTCCCACACTCCAGGAATTTACTATCAGATATGAGATTGCTTAAACGGATATAGGTGATTACAGTGTAGTGTGATGGGTTTGACAAGAAACATGTGCACAAGGTACAAGGACTGTGTGTAGAGTGGTTTCTTGTGCCTTGCATCTTAAAAGTGGATTTCTCTGTCTGGGTTTTTGAGTGCAAAGTAGGAGGCATTTTCAGTCAAAGGACCTTCCAAGACAAGGAATACAGGCAGAGGCATCATGGTGGCAATAAAAGGTACTTCAAGGATGAGCCGAGAAAGAGTATGCACTGCCAGCTAGTGCCACACGCCTTTAATCCCAGCTCTCAGGAGGCACAGACGGGTGAATTTCGGGGAGTTAGAGGCTAGCCTAGTCTACATAGTGAGCTCTGGGCCAGCTAGGGCTACATAGTAAAGCCCTGCAGTAGATCTGAGTTCTGTTCCCAGAACCCATGTCAGGAGGCTCACCTTTCCTGACCTCTTCGGGCACCTGAACTCACATGCACATACCTCCACACAGAGATATACACACATAAATCATTTTAAAAAATGTTTGCTGGGCAGTGGTTGCACAGGCCTTTAATCCCAGCACTCCAGAGGCAAAGGCAGACAGAGTTGGAGGCCAGCCTGGTCTACAAAGCAAGTTCCAGGACAGCCAAGAGCTACACAGAGAAACTCTGTCTGAAAAAACCAAACCAAACCAAAACAGACAAACAAAAGAGTACTTCAAGAAGCACCTGACTCAGATCCATTTCCATTTTCTCCAATGGAGTCAGTTTTGGTGGGCGCTGTGTTCCTGTCTTCCTACCTCAGGCTGATCAGAGAAACTCCGCCCCTTGATACTCTGAATCCTTAGCAGCAAGTGCTGACACAATAACACCACGTGCAGCCTGTTAGGACAGGGCTCTGGGTTCCTGCCTCTTCACCCATTCCTGCAGTTGCAAAGTAGCTGTGCCCCACAGGCAGACACCTCAGGATGTGCAATTGCACCCCATGTTGGCTCCAGTCAACCGGAGTTGGAGGTGTTGCTGGCTGCTGAGGAGTCTTGGCTAGCTCAGTATTTAGCTGTGAAGTTGTGGAGGAACATCAACATAAAACAACAGGTTTGCCCAGACGACTCAAATCGCACTGTAGCCTGAAGAGTCAACATTGTCCCCCCACAATAATACAGTAAAATGTCTTCATGATTTGAATTCATTTTCAGTAATCTAAGTTATTAGTATGCAGAATTCATTTTTCATTTCTTTTTTTGTTTGTTTGTTTTTTCAAGACAGGATTTCTTCCTGTGACAGCTCTGGCTGTCTTGGAACTTACTCTATAGATCAGGCTGGCCTTGAACTCACAAAGTTCCGCCTGCCTCTGCCTCCCTGGTGCTGGGATAAAAGGTGTGCACCACCACCTTCCGGCATTTCTATTTACTTCTAAGACTTGATCCCATCATAAGTTGCTACAGAACTCACTATGTAACTGAGGCAGGATCAGTATCCCAAGTGATGGGCTTGATTTTTTTTTTTTTCAAGACAGGGTTTCTCTGTATTGCTTTGGAGGCTGTCCTGGAACTCACTTTGTAGAGCTTCGAACTCACAGAGATCCACCTGCCTCTGCCTCCCGAGTGCTGGGATTAAAGGTATGAGCCACCAATGCCTGGCTGGGCTTGACTTTTATCTTTGACTTCTATCTTCTAAAAGTACAGGACCCCCGGGCCTTGGTGGCGCACGCCTTTAATCCCAGCACTCGGGATTGAACTTGGATGGCCAAGCTTGCATGGTGATTGGCAATGGCCTTTACCTCCTTCGCCATCTCCTGAGCCCTTTTAAAAACTCATTACGTTTACGCACGGGTGACCTTGAATTTCTGATCCTTGTAGCATGGATTCCAGGGATCAAAGTAAGGCCTTAGGCTTTTTTGTTTTTTGAGACAGGGCTTCTCTGTGTAGCTCTGGCTTTCCTCGAACTCACAGAAATCTGCCCACCTTTGCCTCTTGACTGCTAGGATAAAAGGTGTGGGCCATCACCACCAGTTTAAAATTTTTATTTATTTATTTATTTACTTGTTTGTTTTTTGAGACAGGGTTTCTCTGTAGTTTTGGAGACTGTCCTGGAACTCTCTTTGAAGACCAGGCTGGCCACCTGCCTCTGCCTCCCGAGTGCTGGGATTAAAGGTGCGTGCCACCAAAGCTCAGCCAAATTTTTCTTAAAAAAAGACATTCCCTGCAAATCAAAACAACTCTGAGATACCATCTTACTCCTGTCTGAATGGCTAAAATAAAAAACACCAATGACAGTTTATGCTGGAGAGGTTGTGGAGAAAGGGGAATGCTCCTCCACAGCTGGTGGGCGTGCCAACTCATACAGCCACTTTGGAAATCAGTATGGCGACTCCTCAGGAAAATGGGAATCAATTTACCACAAGATCCAGCGATTCCACTTTTAGGCATATACCCAAAAGAAGCACATTCATACAACAAGGACATCTGTTCAACGATGTTCATAGCAGCATTATTTGTAATAGCCAGAACCTGGAAGCAACCTAGATGCCCCTCAACTGAAGAATGGATAGAGAAAATGTGTAAATGTACATTTACACAATGAAGTACTACTCAGCAGAAAAAAAACAATGGAATCTTGAAATTTGCAGGAAAATGGTTGAAACTAATTAGAAGAAACCATTCTGAGTGAGGTGACCCCAGTCACAAAAAGACAAACATGGTATGTACTCACTCATATATGGATTTTAGACATAGAGCAAAGGATTACCAGCCTACAATCCACACTCCCAGTGAAGCTAGAAAACAAGGAGGACTCAAAGAGAGACAAAAATGGTTTCCTGGAGAAGGGCGAAGGGACAAGATCTCCTGAGCAAATTGGGAGCATGGGGGGAAGGGAGAGGGAGCTAGGAGAATGAGAAGGGGTGAGGAGGACATGAAGGAGCAGGAAGGTTGAGTCGGGGGAAGAATAGAGGAGAGCAATATAAGAGATACCATAATAGAGGGAGCCATTATAAGTTTAAAGAGAAATTAGGCACTAGGGAAATGTCTGGAGATCTACAAGGATGACACCAAGACACCAACTAACAATCTAAGCATCAGAGGAGAGGCTACCTTAAATGCCCTCTCCTGATAATGAGATTGATGACTGACATATGCCAGCCTAAAACCTTCATCTAGCAGCTGGTGGAAGTAGAAGCAGACACCCACAGATAATCACTGAACTGAACTGGAATCCAGTTGCAGAGAAGGAGGACTGATGAGCAAAGGGATCAAGACCAGACTGGTGAAACCCACAGAAACAGCTGACCTGAACAAGGGGTGCTCATGGACCCCAGACTGATAGCTGGGAAACCAGCATAGGACTGTTCCAGACCCCCTGAATGTGGGTGTCAGTGAGGAGGCCTCGGAAATCTATGGCACCCTTGTAGTAATTCAGTACTTATCCCTAGCATAGGTGTGGACTTTGGGAGCCCATTCTACATAGAGGGATACTCCCTGAGTCTAGACACACAGGGGAAGGCCTAGGCCCTATCCCAAAGAATATGACAGACTTTGAGAACCCCCCTCCATGGAAGGCCTCACCCACCCTGGGGAGCAGAAAGGGTATGGGACAGGTAGGGTGTTAGTTGGGGGGGCAGAGGAGAAGGGGAGGGAGAGGGAACTGGGATTGACATGTAAAACAATCTTGTTTCTAATTTAAATAAAAAATGGAAAAAAGAAAAAATTAAACAATGAAAGAAAAAAGACATTCCCTAAGACTTTTCCTTTTCTATTCATAGTTAGAATGTGTACCCGAGTAGAGGTAAAATAACGAATGACCTGCAAAGCATAAAAGTGTTTTGGGGCTGGGGGTGGTGGCTCTTGCCTGTACTCTGGAGGGGTGGTGACCAGGGGCACATAGCAAGGTTCTGTCTTAAAAAATGGATGGTGGCACACATTTTTAATCCCAGCACTCAGGAACAGAGGCAGGAAGATCTCTGTGAGTTCGAAGCCAGCCTGGTCTAATAACAAGTTGTAGGCTAGCTAAGGTTACATAGTAAGACCCTGCTTAAAAACAAACAACATACTCACAAATGTTTAGGGGGTGATTCAGTGTCCCTGGCTAACTTGAATTATGTGACCTGTAATGGCTACTCCATTGCTGTTTATGTAGATAGGACCTTAAAACAGATATTTAGAGGCCCAGTCTCATGTAGCTCAGGTTGGCCTCAGATTCTCTATGTAGATGAGGATAACCCTGGACTCCTGAATAGACTCAGCCATACTATACCAGGGCACAGCATTGCCAGTCCAGCCACCTCAGAGACTGATTCCTCTCCAACCACCTCGCCAGCCACTAGAGGCTAACCTTCAACTTACGTTTTGTTTTTTGTTTTTTGAGACAGGGTTTCTCTGTGGCTTTTGGAAGCTGTCCTGGAACTAGCTCTTGTAGATCAGGCTGGTCTTGAACTCACAGAGATCCGCCTGCCTCTGTTTACCTAGAGCTGGGACTAAAGGTGTGCGCCACCACCGCCCAGCAACCTTCAACTTCTAATCCTCCTGCCTCCACCTCCTAAGCACCTGCATGTCTAGTTAATGCAATGTTGGGGATGGAAGCTACAGCCTCCTTCACGTCAGACCAGCATTCTATCAACTAAGCCCTGTGTTTCACGTTTTTTTAAAAAAATAATTTATTTTGAATTTTATGTGCATCAGTATTTTTGCCTGAATGTACACTGTGTGAGGGTGTTGTATCCCCTGGAACTGGGGTAACAGACAATTGTGAGCTGCCACGTGGGTGCTGGGAATTGAACCCAGGGCCTCTGAAAGAGCTGCCAGTGCTTTTAACTTGTGAGCCCTCTCTCCAATCTCTGGGTTTTGCATCTTTTTTTTTCTTTTAAAGATTTTATTTATTTATTATGTATACAACATTCTGCTTCCATGTATATCTGCACACCAGAAGAGGGCACCAGATCTCATAATGGATGGTTGTGAGCCACCATGTGGTTGCTGGGAATTGAACTCAGGACCTCTGGAAGAGCAGTCGGTGCTCTTAACCTCTGAGCCACCTCTCCCGCCCGGGTTTTGCGTCTTAACTGGGTGCAGCACTTGTTTTGTTCCACCGTCCCTCTGGCTATCTGTAGATACCCGTGTATTTGCCTCTTCTCTGACGGGAACAGTTTCTAGATGTCAAACTTTGGTGGCCCCCGAAATCACAGCATTCCTTTGGTAGTGAGAGTGTGAGCTAGTGGATGGTGTGTTTGCCTTAACCCACTTCCGGCTCTTTCCACCTGCAGCTGTGCAAGTGTGACTCATTGTGGGAGCAGATAGTTCAGGCGGCCTGTGACACCGTCTCCCCCGACATGCGGGCCCTGGCGAAGGACGTGGGCTGGAGACAGGTGTTCTTCACCAACAAGATTCAGCTGCAGAGGCAAATCCGCAGGAAGAAGCTGAGACAGGGAAGGCAGAAGGACAAGAAATATGCTTAGGGGCTGGCTCTTCCCTCCAGAGGGGCCACAGACGTGCTTCTCCTCATGTCCAATTCTTGTTCTTTTAACAACAGCGGTTGCTGATTCCTGGAATCACTTGAAAAACCACATTTTGCACACACATGAAAACCCACCTAGTGCCTTTCTTGAACAACCACCTCTGTCATTCTCAGGCCAACCCATGGCCCAAGTATTTAGGACTACAAGACAGGAAGCTCTCAGGCTCTCACCTTCCCGATCCCGTTACCCCTGAGGAAAAAGGCTCTTGTGTGTATGAACTAACAATAAAGAGTTATTTTCAGGCTTGTGTTTTTTGTTTGTATCAGACAGGGGTCCCAAATAGGACCTTTAGGATGACTTTGAACTTCTGACCCTCTTGCCTCCTCCTCTCCAGTGCTGGGATTACAGGCATTCACCACTATGCCCAGTTCAGGGTAAGCAGTCTATCCACTGAGTCACACCCCCACAACACACTGCTGGGGTTTTGTTAAATAACCTTTTGTTGTTATTGTTGTTGCATTGAGACAGGGCTTCTCTTTGTAGCCCTGGCTGTCCTGTAGACCAGGCTGGCCTTGAACCCAGAGATCTACCTGCCTCTGCCTCCCTAGTGCTGGGGTTAAATGCGTGCACCACCACTACCATCCGGCATTCAAAAAAAAAAAAAAAACTTTTGAATTTTTTCCTGCTGTTGTGTTATCTGCATCCCTCTGAGGAGTAGGTGGCTGGGTGCACTTGGAGGTACAGGTCACAGTGGCCCCCCAGGAGAGGACAGCTGTTTCCCCACTTCATCCAGCAGGGTTTTTATTCAATCACTGTCCTTGTGGGCCCAAGGTGTCATCCACCACACAGCTCCTTATATGGCACCAGAGTGTGGCTAGGAGAGCCCAGACATTCTGTAGGCAGCTCTTACTCAGAAGATGTTAGCACCGTTTAACAAGCCTGCCAGTTTTTAGAGGAGGACCGCTGCTTTCTGAAGAGAATGCAGTGGGACCACACTTTGCAGCAGGGATTTTCTTTTTCTTCTTCGACACAGGGTTTCTCTGTGTAACAACTCTGGCTGTCCTAGAACTAGCTATGTAGATGACACTGGCCTTGAACTCACAGAGATCCACCTGACTCTGCCTCCCAGATACTGGCGTTATAGGCATGCGCCACCATTGCCCAGCTGCAGAAGGGATTTTAAGAGCAGAGGCTGTGGGTAACCAGTGTGCACAGTTAACATGCATTTAGTTAGCATGGCCCAGGGATACACATGGCAAGTCAGAGACCAATCAGAGCTCCACGAGACCATGTCTCTCTAAAAAGCAGCGGGGAGAAGATTGGAGAGATCTCAGTAGTACCATTGTCATTCAGGACACCTGGGAACCAAGAGAATTGAAAATCCTGTACTTCTAGTCCATGTCTTTCATTTGACAAGCAGTTATTCCTACTGGCAGTTCGGAAGTTTTGTTTTTTGTAAGGACTTATTTTTATATTACATATATGTGTATTTTGCCTGCCAGTATGTCTGTGCATTACTCCAATGCCTAGTGCCCACAGAGGCCAGAAGAGGATGTCCCATCCCCTAGAACTGGAATTACAGACTGCTGTGAGCCACCATCTGGGTGCTGGGAACTGCACCCAGGTCCTCTGGAAGAGCAGCTTTCTGAGCAATCTCTACAGCCTCAACTTAAAATTCTTCCCATGTTGTATATTATTGATTATAGTTTCCATGTGAAAAGGTTACAGGATATTGCCTTCAGCTTTTGTGTCTCTGTCAGATTTAGTGGCTGTAATAGGAATTTATTTGGGCTTGCAAGGGATTTTTATGTCAACCTGCCGGTGCCCACAGAATCCCAGATCTCACTTGTTTATTGGAAAAGAAGAGTTAGCTGAAAGACTAAAAATAGCATCTCTGTAGACAGCACCTGACCAGAATGCAGTGTGAAAGTTAATATGGGAGGCCAGACATGGTGGCACATGCTCGTGAGAACCTGGTAGGCAGAGGTAGGGGGATTTTAAGTTCAAGGTCATGCTGAGGCCACATAATAAGATTGTCTCAGACAATCAATCAAACAAATAAATGGAAGGAACATGACTGATTGAGGACAGAGATCTAAAATTGATTGAAATGTTTCATCCTCTTTCTGCTTTTCAAGACAGGGTTTCTCTATGTAACAGTCTTAGCTGTTCTGGGACTAGCTCTGTAGACCAGGCTGGCCTGGAACTCGGAGTTCCCAAGTGCTGGGATTAAAGGCATGCACCACCACTGTCCCCAGTGAAATGTTTCATTCTTAAATATACTGAGAGTAGTTCTCCAGTAGTTTTGTTTTGTATATACCAAGAGTAGTTTTTTTTTTTAAAGATTTTATTTATTATGTGTACAGTGTTCTGCCTGCATGTATCCCTGGAGGCCAGAGGAGGGCACCAGATCTCATTACAGATGGTTGTGAGCCATCATGTGGGTGCTGGGAATTGAACTCAGGATCTCTGGAAGAGCAGACAGTGCTCTTAACCTCTGAGCCATCTCTCCAGCCTCCCCCACCCAGAGTAGTTCTATAAGTAGTTCTGTATGAAATGATGCCTGTCTGTAATCCCCGCATTCTTCAAAGTTAAAAAAAGGAACACACACACACAGGGAGAGATTGATTCCATGTAGAAACTCACTGGTCACCTTTAAAGAGGACAACATTTATTTAGTTACAAGTAAATAACAACACAGGTATGCAAAGGGCAAATGACAAAGCATATGATGTGACCACACAATTAGCCAATGAGAATGTCTTCAGAACACTGCAGGTGTGAACGGAGATAGGAGCTGTTTTTGTTTGTTTGTTTGTTTGTTTAATTTTTTTTGCAAGCAGGTCTTGCTTCAGTCCTGCAGGGACCACTGATTCAGTAGAAGCCACTGCACCTTCAATTAAAGTAAGTCTATAGATAGAACCATGAGCAATCTAACTAACCTGGATGCAAGTCCAGTTGGGTCAGTGGGTGGAAAGTTTGTATCTCTGATGCATAGCAAGCAATGCAGACATCCCCTGTCATGGGCCATAGCACCATTCAGCACACTTAACACTGCCTCCTGTTAACTGATGTTGCAGACAATGAGGGTAGTGAAGTAATGTAGTTTTAAAAATACATAACATGTCTAACGGTTCCTAATTGTAAATACACATACGTACGTGCATGTCTGCATTTGTATGTATTTAACATGAAAATAAATATCACCATTTCAGCTTTAAAGATTATTATTTATTCATTTTTGAAAGAGATTCTCAACGTGTACCTCAGGCTGTCCTGGAACTCACTTTGTAGACCAGGCTGGCCTTGAACTCAGAGATCTGCCTGCCTCTGCCTCTCAAGTGTTAGGATTAAAAGTAAGCACCACCATGTCTGGCTAATATCACCTTTATTAAAATATCAAGTTGTGCTACTGGTGCAATGATAACAAACAGGTCTTTGGCCAGGGGTGGAGGCAGAGAAGCAGAGGAAGGCAAGTCACTATGATTTCGAGGCTAGCCTGGTCTACATAGTGAGACCCTGCCTCAAACGAAACAAAACAAAAACCAAACATGTCTTTGTGTTAAGCCAAATGGCACATGACATCTACATTATCTGTCTAACCTCCAGGCAATGCTCACATCATTGGAGGGAATATCAAGTGTGTTCTTTAGTGGGGCTCCTCTCTGTTGCCAGCCTGCTCACCAATGCTATCATCTGGGTGGTTTCATGGTACAGTCCTTTCAGTAGGCCTTAGGGCAGGAGACAGTGGAGAAGGCAACTGTTCATTTAATTACCTATCAATATTTGGGAAGCTCCCCTTGCATTCTGACTGAAAGTTAGACCTTGGAAGCATTTTACAATTCCAGTCTCTAGCAATCCTGTCTTTAATTACCAAAGATAATTGAGACTGGGGTGGATTCCTTGGGTAAATTTGCCCCAAGACACTGGCAGTTTTGTTTGATGAGCAAATTGTGAGTTGAAGTTTTTTGCTTTATGGTGTGGAGATGAATCCTAGGGTCTTGAACATGTTAGGCAAGTGCTCTTATCACTGAGCCACACCGCCAAACCAGCACGTAGACATGTAAGTCATTTAAAGGCATCATTTAAAGGTATAAATAGGTAAGGCAGTCAGAAATTTCAGAATGACCCTGGGAGGAACATTTTGTATTCAGAAAATGTCTTAGCTTTAGAAAAATAGAGATCTCGGCTAAGGAAGAGTATTGAATTTTATGATGTCCCAGATCAGACATCGTCATGTATGAAACCTACAAAGAGAATTATTTTCAAAATTGTGTTCAGTCCAGACAAGAGAATCATCTATATGGTAAGAGGCACCAGAGCTGGGCTGTTTGGCACCACTGTCCCAGTGTCAGCTACGTTCACAGCCATAAGGCAAGCCATCTATAGCCCTCACAGCTTGACTCTATTTTGTTTTGTTTTTGAGACAAGGTTTCTTTGTGTAGCCCTGGCTGTCCTGGAACTCACTTCGTAGACCAGGCTGGCCTTGAACTCACAGAGATCCGCCTGCCTCTACCTCCAAAGTGCTGGGATTAAAGGAGTGTGCCACCACTGCCCAGCTCTTAAAAAAAAAAAAAAAGATGGTTCACTCTAAGACAATAGCATGAATCAAAATGTCTGAATCATAGCCCTTGATGCAAAGTCATGTGCACTAAGAAACACACATACCGCTAAGGACATCATTCACAGACCACTTGGGAAAGATTTGTGTTGAGTCTAGCTTACTGCTGACTTCATCTTCTAGGACATGATCAGTTGAGTGAGAAGGATGGCCAATTTTCTTCTTCTTCTTCTTCTTCTTCTTCTTTTCTTTTCTTTCTTTTTTTTTTTTTTTTGAGACAGGGTTTCTCTGTGTAGCTTTGGCGTCTATCCTGGCACTCCCTCTGGAGACCAGGCTGGCCTTGAACTCACAAAGATCTGCCTGCCTCTGCCTCGGGAGTGCTGGGATTAAAGGCGTGTGCCACCAATGCCCGGCCAAGTTCATTTCTTAAAGGAAGAGTTAGAAACTGTACTTCTTACCTACAGAATTCTTTCATAAAAATATAAGCTGTTTTAAAGTTGTACTAAATCGTATTACTTTTGAAAAAAGATTTGTTTTTGTATTTTGTGTGTATGGGTGTTTTTTCTGAGTGTTTTTATGTGCGACAAGTGTGCAGTGGCCACAGAGACCAGAAGAGGGTATCTGGGCCTCTGGAACTGGAGTTACAGCTGGTTATCAGCCCACATGTGGGTGCTCATAGCTGAACTCTGGTCCGCTAAAAGAGCAGCAAGTGCTCTTAACCTCTTAGCCACCTTTCCAGCCCACAAATTACATTACTTTTGAAATGATATCCTGCCTTTATATATTAGCATACTAATAACTCATTTTAAGAATTTCTGACACTTAGTCATGTTCTTATGCTTAAAGTCCATTTATCTGGACCCTTTGTGGAAATATAGACTCTCAGTTTTACCTTACAAAGAAGTGGTTGAGTTTCAAAGCTTTTATTTCTTTTCTTTCTTTCTTTCTTTCTTTCTTTCTTTCTTTCTTTCTTTCTTTCTTTCTCTTTTTTAGACAGGTTCTCATGTGGCCCAGGCTGGCCTGGAACTCACTAGGTAGCAGAGGCTAACTCTGAAACTTCAATCCCCCTGCCTCCACCTAGAACTGGGATTACAGGCATTTGCCACCATGCCTGGCTTAAAAGTTTTCATCAGGGCTTCTGTATCAACTATTTCATAAGCTATGAACACCATCATCTCTAAAACATACACAGTTCTAATCACTTCTGCCACCTCCTCGGAGAGGTCATGCTGCTCACAGATGAAACAACAATGACATTTACAGTTGACACCACTGGTTACCATACAGACAGAGCATTCCTCTAGCGACCAGGTGAGGTAGTCATGAGGAGAGGACCCGCCAGAAATGCTGCATGACACTAAACGTGTGCACCATCTGTGTACTTTCTTCTGGATTGTTCTACCATCTGAATACAGGGTTGAATGAGCAAAAAGAGTATTCCTACCATGTAAAGCAGACCGCATATATAAAAAGAAAAATCATATTTTTGTGTGATGTCGAAGATCCACCCTACAAAAACAAAAACAAAAATACAGATATATTCAGTATAACACAGTTTAAGACAAAATTCAATGTTATAAACCAGGCATTATTGCTACTTCATTTTTTTGTTTGTTTGTTTTTCAAGAGAGTTTCTCTGTCTAGCTCTGGAACTGGATTTGTAGATCAGGCAGAATCTTTTTTTTTTTTTTTGAGTTTGGTCAGGGGATGTAGCTCAGTGGTAGAGAACTTGCCCAGCATATATTAAAGCCACAGTTCAACACTGCCCCTCCAATTTATTAACTTTTCTTTGGGGAACCCAGAGCATCCCACATGTGGCCACCCTGGGCCACAGAGACAGGCTTCATTCAGATTTTTTTTTTTTTTTTTGATACAAGATCTCACATACTATACTCAAGGCTGGTCTCAAATTCACTATGGGTTGTTTCACTATTATTTAGTCTTTAATTTTTTTGTTTGCTCTTGAGACAGGGTCTTACTGTGTAGCCCTGGAACTCAGGCTGGCTAAGAACTCACAGAAATCCACCCGCCTTGCCTCTCAAGTGCCGGAATTAAAGGCGTATGTTACCATGCCCGGCTGTTATTATTTGTTTTTATTTTACTTATTTTTGGGTAAGTGTGTGAACTTGGTGTATGTCACTAGCGTACTATGTGAAGGTCACAGAATAACACTGTGCAGTGAGTGAGTTCTCTCCTTTCAACTTTATGTGGGTCCCAGGGACCTAACTCGGGTCATCCCTCATGTTGAACCTATGTGGTGAGCACGTTACCCTCTAAGCCAGCTCATCATCCCTATCAAGTGTGTTATTTGACTTAAAAATAGGAGACAGCAGAGATGTGGCAGAGGCAGGTGATTTCTGTGAGTTTGAGGACAGTTTAGCCATAGCAAGTTCCAGGACAGCCAGAGCTACCCAATGAGAGCCTGTCTCAAAAGACAAAACAAAAGACAAAAAACAAATAACAACGAAAAGGAGGCAAAAATAAAGGTCATATTCTTTAGATGTGGCTTAGTAAAATGCCCTGTCCTTTTTCCAGCTGCAATCTAAAACGAGATTAAACACATAACCCAAAAATTCAGCTTCAGAGTCTGAAAGCCGCACTAACACCGAGATCTCAACAAACCCCCACCAACTTCTGCTCAGTGACACCAGCTGCTGTCAATGGGACTTGTGTGTGTGAGCGATGACGACATGAACAAACAAGGACAGTGTAGCTGTAGAGGGCTTTGGATGTACCTCGAAACAGAATGGGTGAGGGGATTGCCTATAATCTGAAAGTTAGAAGATCAGGGCAGGATCTGGGGGCACAGGCCTGTCATCCTAGCTACTGGAAGAATGAGTTCAAGGTCTGCCTGGGCTACAGAGTGTCCTTGCCTAGTCAGCCTGGGCAATTTAAGGAGACCCTGTCTCAGTGAAAATAAGCCAAGCTTGCCTCACACCTCTAATCCCAGCACTTGGAAGGCAGAAGCCAGGTATCTAGATCTCTGCTGGTTTGAGGCCAGGCTGGTCTGCGTAGTGCATTCCTGGCAAGCTATAGCCATCCAGTGACACCCTGTCCCCAAGAGGAAAAAGAATTAAAAAATGACTGGTGATGTAGCCCAGTGGTGATTGCTTACTTGTTTAGGTGGCATTGGAAGAGGCCTTGGGTTCAATACCCATGGAGGCCAGAAGAGGTCATTCATTTGTTCTCTGGAGCTGGAGTGGTTGTGAGTTACCTGACGTGGGTGCTGAGAACTAAACCCCTGGAAGAGCAGCAAGTACTCTCTCTGTTTTGTTTTTGTTTTTTTTTTTCTCTCCCAAGACAGGGTTTCTCTGTGGCTTTGGAGGCTGCCCTGGAACTAGCTCTTGTAGATGAGGCTGGTCTCGAACTCACAGAGATCTGCCTGCCTCTGCTTCCCAGTCATTCAGATCTGGCTAGCTGAGTATCTACATGCATTTTCAGTGTTGCCCAAGAACACTGAAATTTTTTTTTTTAAATTTAAAGTTTAAAATTTAAATTTTTAAATTTAAAAATCAATTTAAAACTGATTCCCTAGTCAATTGCCTTCCCTTTTCATTTGAGTTTGCTCAGTGAAATGGATAGGTGTCTTATCATATCAATTAAATTGTTCTCAGCTCTTGGGCAACACTGAAAATGCATGTAGATATTCAGCTAGCCAGATCTGATTGGCTGGATTCTGTTAGAAAGTATTCTAGAAACATCTAGAAAAATCACCTACTACTATGAGATCTTTTAAGGAGAAGTGAATACACAGTAATGCTATAAAAACGAATTAGATTGAAGTTGGTGTTGTCAAATGCCATGGTCAAAATGTCTGTGTAATGTCTTGAATTGCATACTTTCCCTAAATGGAAACACTTGAATGTCTAATGTGGCACTAAATTGAACCAGGTTTTTAAATGAGACTGGAAATCACTCTGAAAAATGGGAAACAACGTTTGTTCCTGAAACCACTCTAAAAAAAAAAAAAAAAAAAAAAAAAAAAAAAAAAAGGTAATTGGGAAGTAATTTTCTCAGCTGCACATTAAGTAGGATTTCAAGCCAATTTGGGATGTCTAGCAAGAATTGAGTGTGGTTATTTAGTTGATCCTCTTGCCAGGCACCCTGACCCTACTAGAGTGCATGAATGCCAGGCCTGCATCACACTATGACTTTAGTTTCTTGGCCTGGAGAGTCAATTAAAGCTTATGTGGGCAGCCAATGAATGTCCTTCACCATTAGTGTGTGAACCAGTGGGAGGAGAGGAAGGAACAAACACAAGGAGAAAAGGCCCTTTGAACCTGACGGATGGGGACACTACACTTCTTTCCTTGATTATTTCTGTTGTGGTAGTGTTTATGTTTGCTTTGTTTTGAGGTGGGGTCATATGTAGCCCAGGCTAGCCTTAGACTCCTGATATTCCTGCCCCCACCTCGCAAGTGCTATGATTACAGGCTTACAGAAACATGCCTGAGAGCATATGCACGTATGCATGTGAATGCACTGTGTGCACTAGTGTGTGTGTGTGTGTGTGTGTGTGTGTGTGTGTTTTCTCAAGTGCTCGTAAGTACTCGTAAGACAGTGCTGGGTGTGCACCCCCATCTGTTCCTTTGAGGCAGGGTTTCTCCCTGAACTTGAGGCTCTTTCTTTCTTTCTTTCTTTCTTTCTTTCTTTCTTTCTTTCTTTCTTTCTTTCTTTCTTTCTGCCTGCCTTCCTTCCTTTCTCTCTCTCCCTCCCTCCCTCCCTCCCTCCCTCCTTTCTCTCTCTCTCCCCCCCTCCTTCTTTCTTCAAAGACAGAGTTTCTCTATGTAGCCCTGGTTGTCCTGGAACTCAGAAGTCCCCCTGCCCCTGCCTCCCAAGTGCTGGGATTAAGGTTGTGTGCCACCATGGTGCCCAGCCAGTGGGACACATTTTCTCTACTAGACTTTTGACCACCTGAACAGTAAGATAATGGTTATGACAGCTTATTTGAGCAGTGACAGGCAACAAACACAAGCTAGACCCAAGCATGGATGCCCTTTGGTGGTTTTTGAGATAGGGTCTCACGTGGCCAAGGATCACCTTTGACTCTAGATCTTTGTCACTGCCTCTCAAGTGCTAGGACTTCAGGCATGGACCACCACACCCAGAGTATGATGCTCTGGGTAGAGAACTCTGGGCATCCTGCATGCTAGGCAGACACTCTACCATCCAAGACAACATCCCAGCACTGTGTTTGGCTTCTTCTCTTTTATTTAATGTGTGTGTATGTTTGTATGTGTATAGGTCCATGCCACAGTATAAACACGGAGGTCAGAGGACAATTTACAGGATTCCATTCTTTGCTCCCACCACATGGGTTCTGGGGATTGGACCCAGCTCATCAGGCTTGGTGGCAAGCGCCTTTAGCCTGCTGAGTCACAGGCCCCTGGTATTGGTTTCTTGTGATAGTGTCTGATCAAGTAGCTGAAGTTGTCCTGGAATTTGTCACAATCCTCCTGCCTCAGTACCCTCATACTGTGATTATAGGTGTGTACTACCACATCTGGCTTTTTTGTTTTGCCTTTTTAAAATTTCCTTTATTTATTTATTTATTTATTTATTTATTTATTTATTTATTTATTTGAGACAGCTTAGGCTGACCTCTGAAGGGACCAGCCCCCAGTCTTAGCAGCCACGACAGGCTAACATGTGCTTGCCTGACCTTGCCCTTCCTGTCCTGGTCACTAGGAGGTCAGATGCCCTCCTCGGAGCAAGGAGCCAATCAGAAGTTGGCTGTTGGGGCTGTGCTTTACAGTTCTGGGTGTGCTTTACAGACAAGTGCACAACAGTGACGTGCAGAGCATAGCAACAGCCCTGGGAGGGCCTATTGGCCATAACAAGCAGTTAACCAACACAGGACAGGTTGTCCAAGCCTGGAAGCACAACAGTCCTGAGACTGTTGCATACCCCTAGACACTCCCCTTATGCTACCCTGTAAGATCCCTTTCTGTGGGTCTTTCTCCAGCAATCTGCCTCAGTGGATGGATGCAAGGCTAATGGGGTTAGCTTGTTAAACAACTACAATAAAAGACTCTTTGCTTTTGTATCGAAATGGGCCTCTTGGTGATTTTGGGGTTCAGAATTTGGGCACAACACCTCTAACTAGCTAGTGCTCTTTCTACCTAGATTTTCCAACTGCTGACATCACAAGCATGTGCCACCATGCCCAGCTCTGACACTGGACTTTGTAAGGGTAGGGACACATCCTACCCTCTGTGCACTCTAAACTCTGGGTACCTTGGGGGCACTCACCTGCAAATGGTGGTCCCAGTAAAGCTGAGATGCCATTGGCACAGATGATGATGCCATAGGCATTGGCTAAGTGCTCAGTGCCAACCAGGTCCTCCGTCACCACGGGCATGAGAGAGAAATACCCGCTGGAAAATCCAATCAGGGCACAAATGACAGCCAGGCTCGCATAGGTGTGCATCAGTGGCAGAAGGAAGATGCTGAAGACGAGGGTGAAGTTAGCGATGAGGAAGACGTTCCAGACACTGATGCAGGGGAGGTCAGCCACCGCCCCCAGGATCACCTTCCCAAAGATGTGAAGTATTGCTATAATTGAGGTCAGAGGGAACATGTCGTTTTGCTCTGACAGGCCATACAAACTAACAATTTCTGGCAGGTGGATGAAAGGGATGACGAAGCTGCTGTATGCAAACAGAGCCCAGAAAATAAAGGCTACGAACATGCGGTTGGTGAAGAGCGAGGCTGTTCCAAAATAGCCCGAGTACCAGTCCCCAAAGCCCTTCCGTACTCGAACAGTGAGCTGGCTCACAGTCTTCAGGACTCGGAAAGCACACATGTTCTTCCTGGGATGGGTTTGGCCTTGACACTCCTGTGCTTGGAGGTCACAGACAGTCTCCTCGTTCCCAGGCTGCCTGTCCTGTTCTTCAGTCAGGCCCAGTGGTCCTGACTTCACAGATTCAGTGGAGTAAGCTGGGAGGGCGCAGGGCTTCTCCTCTCTTGGGCAGTTTTCTACTTTCCCAGGAGAGAGGGGCCTCATGAGTGCCCCACAAACACACAGGTTCAAGGACACGGCACCTTGGATGAACATGGCTTTCCGCCAGCCATACTCTGCACACAGGTACTTCAGCAAAAGGGTCATCAGGAATGTCCCAAATCCTGTCCCCGTGGTACTGAGGCCCTGGGCCAGGGCTCGCCTCTTCTGAAAGTACCTTCCCACCATGACCACCGCAGGCAGGTAGGCCATCCCACTGCCGAGGCCTGCAGGTGAGATGGAAAAAAAACACCAGGCAAGGTCAGCATTCATACTACATAAAGATCACCAGCTGTGTCAGGCAGATTTCCAGACTGTAGCAAAAACACCTGAGGTAATCAACTTAAAAAGAAGAAAGGTTTACTTTATTTTGAGACAGGGTTTCTCTGTATTGCTTTGGAGGTTGTCCTGGAACTCGCTCTATAGACCAGGCTGGCCTTGAACTCACAGAGATCCATTTGCCTCTGCCTCCCGAGTGCTGGGATTAAAGGCATGAGCCACCAATGCCTGGAGAAAGGTTTATTTTGGTTAGTGATTTTAGAGAACTCAATTACTGATGCTTTGGGGCATGTCCCGGCAGAGAGTCATGGCAGAGCAAAGCTCACGGCTGCTGGGAAGTCAAGAAAAAGAAGAGAAGACTAGGGATCTAGTGGTTGGTAGAGTGCTTGCACTAGCATGCATGAATTCCCAGCACCACATAACAGTGGTTACAGAGACACATGTCTATAATCCTAACCCCTAGGAAGGAGGGAGGAGGGTCAGGACGCCAAGGTCATTCTCAGCTATACAGTGAGTCTGAAGCCAATATGGGATGCACAAGACTCTGTTTAAAGGTGGTGGGGGCAAGTGAAAGGTCCAGGCATTAATGCTCACCTTTAAGAGACAGACCCCGCCCCTGACAAAGGGTGAGTCGCTCACATTGACGTGTCAAGTCACTCATTACACAGTTCGGAGCTGCATAGGGACTCTGTGTATGCGCCAGCTCCCCCCTTTTAAGCCTGAGCCCACATTCTCTCTCTCTCTCTCTCTCTCTGGCAGTCGACCACTAATTCTCTTACTCTCTGCCCTGCTCTGTTTTTCCATTTTTCTCTCTCCTCTCTTGCTCTCCTGCCCTGTAATATACCTTATGTTTAATGTACCCTCCATCGTTCATGTTCCATCTCCATCTTGAGACCTCTAATTTAAACAAAATAACAACAGCAAGCATATTCCCAATTACCTATTCCTTTCACTGGATCCCATTCTGTAAAGATGTTACCACCTCTCAACCGCCTGTCTTCACTACACATCCTTCAGGGACATTCAGATTCAAACTGTTAACACCTCCATCTCCTTACACCATTGTACTTGTCCATTCTATGAAGGAATCGAGAAACCCTGTCTCAAAAAACAAAAAAAAAAAAAAAAAAATACAGAAATGATATAATATCTAGATGACTGTTTATCTAAAGCCCTAGCTTGATCCTTCAAGAAAGGAGAAACTTGGAGTCAATTTCTGTGACTAGTGTGGACTTTTGAGATCTTGCCCCTTCAGAAGCTACAGAATGTTATCAACAGACAGACTGCATTCATGCCCTCCGCTCCCAGCCCATCTGACATCAGCAATGCCTCCTGGACCACACTGCTGGAAGAGGAAACCTTTCTCCCCTACCTTATTACCCCCTCCCTCATCTGGTTGTATTCTTCTCTGGTCCTATAGTAGTTGGTTAGTTCTCTCCTATCACGTGGTTCCAAGGGACGGGGACTCAGGCATCAGGCTTGGTGGTAGGCACCTTAGCCTGTTAAGCCATCTCACTTGCCCAAGACAAATCTCAAAAAAAAAAAAAAAGATTAATTTTGCATTTCTAAAAATAAAGTATATTTTTGTCTATGGGTGCCACACACCTTTAATCCTAGCACTTGGGATTTAATCCTAGCACTAATCCTAGCAGAGAATGGTGGATCTTTGTGAGTTTAAGGTCAGCCTGGTCTACAGAGCCAATTCCAGGACAGGCCCCAAAGCTACGGAGAAACCCTGTCTGGAAAAACCACCCCCTCACAACAACAACAACAACAACAACAACAACAAAAAAGCAAAAACAAAAACAACTAGGTAAAGTATATTTTTAAAAAAGTCTCCTCAATGAGTGTGTCTATGGCTAGTAAAAAAAAAAAGTCCTGAGTGGATGAACCACAGGGGATGTGCCTGAGAGTAAGCATACCGATATCATACTTGGAAAAAGTGCTTGTCCAGTATGCACTAGACCTTGGGTTTGACCTCATCACCACATAAACCAGGTATTGTGACACACAACACTAATCCCAGAGTTCAGAGGCAAAGCGGGAGTATCAAGGTCATCCTCACCTAGACACAGAATTTGAGGCTAGCCTGGGCTACATGAGATCCTGTATCAAAAAAAAAAAAACAAAAAACAAAACAAAACTTAAAATCTAGGGTGTGTGTGTGTGTGTGTGTGTGTGTGCGCGTGCGTGCGTGCTCCTGTGTAAGTGTGCAGGTGCCCTTGGAGGCCTGAAGAGGGCATTGGGTCCCCAGAGGTTGTAAGCTGCCCAGTGTAAGTGCTGGGAACTGAACTCCAGTCCTTTCGAAGAGTAGCCAGCACTCTTAAACTGCTAAGTCATCTTTCCAGCTTCTAGTGGAACAGTTTAAATCAAACCCAGGGAAGCTTTAAAAAACAGAATGATTTAATGGACTCTTCGTGCCATCACTTAACGTCAACAAATCTCAACTCACAGCCAGTTTTGTAAATACCACATATTATTTTGAAGCAAATCAAGAATATATTATCTCTTGTGTGCATATTTTAGTATAAATCTCCAAATGTAGGAATCACTTAAATGGCATAGTTCTCATATCATTTTCTCATAGGAAAAAATAATCCTTTGATACTGCTAAATATCCAGAAGGTGCTCAAATTTCTAGGTGTTCCATAAATGACTATTCTTTTAAAAAAACAAACAACCCCCCAAACTTGTATGTTTAAACCACAATCCAACAAGGCTTTTACACATTGCTGTTTGTTGATGCCTATTTTAAGTCTTTTCCCACCCCACCCCAATACCTCCTGCAGTTTACTTTGATGGATTTGTTTAAGACGCTAGGTGATTTATTCTGTGATGCTTTCATACTTTGGATTTTGATTATAACACAAAATAAGGTTACTCATTTTAAACAGGGTCTCATGTAGCCCAGGCTGGCCTGGAATTTGTAGTTAAGAATGGTCTTGAAATTCTGATCCTAGTCAGGGGGTGTTGGTACATGCCTTTAATCTCAGCACTCGGGAAACAGATGCAGGCCAGCCTGGTCTACAGAGTAAGTTCCAGGACAGCCAGGTATGTTACATAGAGAAACCCTGTCTCAAAAAACAAAACAAAACAAAACAAAAAAGTTTCTAATCTCTTCTTAAAATAATAATAATAATAAGATGATGATGATGATGATGATGATGATGATGAGTGTGTGAGTGCAGACACACACATACTATAACAGGCATGTGGAGATCAAAAGATAACATTTAGGACAATGATTCTCAAAGTGTGGGTCACGACCTTCTTGGGGCCCAAATGGCCCTTTCACACGGGGGTCAGATATCCTGCATATAAAATATTTACGTTCAATTCATAACAGTAGCAAAATTACAGTTAGCAACAAAATAGTTTTATGGTTGGTGGGTCACCACAACATGAGGAAAACAGAAGCATTAGGAAAACAGAACCAATGTTTTAGGAGGTTGGTTTTTCCTTGCATCTGGGGATCTAAGAGCCACTCAGGCTGTCCAGGCTCATTCCTGTCATAGGCAGGTACCTCTACCTGTGTGCCATCTCACCAGCACATTGACAGCAGGTTTTAGTGTCCCATTCCTCTTGTTGTAAGGGAGACACTTGAGTTTATGTCATATTTATGCTACACATAATTTTTGTGTCAGCTAACATTTACCAGGCACGTTAGTATGTACCATCATGCTAAGCATTTTATGTGAATCACTTCAATCATTTCAACATGCTAGTCTGGTACTCTTAATTTGCCCCCCAATTTGCACATAAGGAAACTGAGGTGTAAGGAACTTCAGTGATAAGTCTATTGTGCCTAATGTCACATGAATATTGAGTGGTTATATTCATGTGGACACAGATGGGTGCAGCTCAGTGGTAAGTGTTCTTGCCCAGCAGGAGTGAAACAATAAGCTAAGCCTGGTGGCACAGTGCTGCAATCCCAACTCTCAGGAGGTGGAGGCGGGGATGGGGAGCAGATTAAAAGTTCAAAGTCCTTCTCTTTACACAGCAAATTCAAGGCCAGGCTGGAGATACATAAGGACCCATCTCATAACAGAAATAAGGAAATAGCCATAAATTTCTATTAACCTTTTGTTTTCACATTGTTTTCTTAATACATAGTCCCAACTAATTTTAAACTTTCCATCGCATTGCCTCAAGCTCCCAAGTGTTAGGACTACAGACATGCTGTGCACCACCAAATCCCAACCAAAATAACTTTTTCATTGCTTTGTTTTTTCAGGCAAGGTTTTGTGTAGCCCAGGGTGGCCTTGACCGCACTGTCTAAGTAGCTGAGGATGGCCTTGCATTCTGGATCTTTCTGTCTCCACCTCCTTAGAGCTAGAATTATAGCTATACCACCACACATTTGGATCTTTTTGTTTGTTTGTGATTTTGTTTTTGTTTTTTTGAGTCAGGGTCTCACTGTGTAACCCTGGCTGGCCTGGAACCATTCTGTGGACCAGGGCTTTGAACTAATAGAGATCCTTCTGCCTTTGTCTCTGGAGCACTGGAAGTTTTCTTTTCATTTTCTGAGAAAGAGTCTCACTATATAGCCTGGCTGAACTTCTGGCAATGCCCCTGCCTCTGCCTCTCAAATGCTGTGAATGAAGGTGCCACTACATCCAGCTTTCCTGATCAAAATAGTTTTCAACTCTGATTCGGTTTTTGAGGAGGATCAGAGCTCTGTTCCCACAGAGTCAGGTTGGGACCAGCTTCAGCAGAACACAGAGTCAGAGGAAATGACTACTCACTGTGTGAACCCCACAACCTGTGGGTAAAGGGAATTATGGTTGGGAATACATTTTGTAGAATGCAAATCACTCTGCATGGTGTTCAGTTTTAATCTGTCCCCTGCCTGTGTGCTAGATTGGCTTCTGAGAATCTCAACCTGCCTGTGGTTTGTGTCAATTCATTCATGTGAATGGAGAAAAAGGTAAATAAATGGCTATTCCATTGTTCACATTTGGTCCTATATTTGTTAATGAGAGGATGTCTTCATTTCCTTAGCATTTTTGTTCACTCACTTTGTGTCATTATCCCTCCTTCCCCATTCTTCAAAGGAGAAACCCTAGCAGGTAGCAGCTGGCTTAAAGTTTGAATTTTGTTCTATTTGGGAAATCAAATACAGTTGTTACTGAGTTTCCCACAAGTAAGGGACACTTAGCATCTATTAAAGTGTTTCTTGGGTCCATGGATAAGAAGGCTTGCTATGCAAACACAAGCATCCCAGTTTGAATCCACAACATTAGAATAAAATGCTGGATATGGCTAGCCTGTTGGAGAGAGAGAGAGAGAGAGAGAGAGAGAGAGAGAGAGAGAGAGAGAGAGAGAGAGAGAGTGTGTGTGTGTGTGTGTGTGTGTGTTAGCGGTTAGAAGAGGGTATCAAAACCTCTGGAACTGGGGTTACAGATGACCCTGAGCTGCCATGTGGGTGCTGGAAATGGAACCTGTGTCCTCTGCAAGAACAAGTGCTCTTAGTTGTTGAGCTGTCTCTCTAGACCGTCAACAGAATATCTCTCCACAGTTAAATTCATCATTGAAATGCACAACACACTGAAATCACAAATTGTAAACCGTACCTACCAGCTGCCACTCCAAACGTAATAAAGAGGGTCTGCACGTTGGGTGCATAGGCGCTCAACACCCAGCCGAGGGAGTTCACCAGCCCTCCAATGATTGCTGTCTGGCGGCACCCGCAGGTGTTAATGAACAAGCCGATGAAAGGTCCTGCCACAGAGCAGTAGGAAAGACACTTACTAGAGGCCCCTTGTTGTCTTAGTGTCCCCCCACCCCCCCCAAAAGTTAATAAATCATCACTAGGGTTGTTTAAAGAAGACCAAACCTGGGCTAGCTAGACGGCTTGGCAGGAAAGGGGCTTGCGGCCAAAGCTGCCAACCTGAGTTTGAGCCCCCGGAACCCACTTGATAGAAAGATCTCAGACTCCCACAGGTTGTTGACTTCCACTCATGCACCCTCCAATAAACAAATAAATATAAATTTTAATAACATAGGCAAAACCAAAACATCTTATGATGGGGTCTCTGCAGGTGACAGAGACCGGCAGAAATCTGAAAAGAGGTAAGAATGAAAAGCCAGTTTGTATTGACTTGAAGGTCAACCTGGATCAAACTTCGGGAAGTCTGATGCCAGGCAGTTAATTGTAAGCATATTTAAACACAATAGAATTTGGAAAATGGTTTTCCAGGCTACAATCATTCCAATTCCAGCTGCACAATAATGCTTAAGGGTTGCCTACAGAGAATCTCCTTTACAAAGTCCATGTGACCATATGTAGAAGGTGGGTTCTACAGCTAAAAGGCCCGGGGTCCGGTGAGGTCTCTGATGAAGACAGCACAGAGGTCAGCAGGCCATAAAGGACATGTGACATCTCCCCTAAGGATGGGTTCTATCGATTGGGAGCTAAAGATAAAGGTCTAGGGAGGGAGAGTCTGGATAATCACTCTGGGGGTTGGATGAGGTCTGCCTCTATGGTTTGCAAAGGTCACCAGGTCATTAACAACATCCACTCCAGCTTTCCGCATGGAATGCAGGTATTTTACTGAGGAGAGGTAACACAGTGTTTATTGTCCACTGAGGAGACACCCCTGAGTGATGAATATTCTGGTTTCCTTCAAGATCTGTGGGCACAAGGACCTTTGTGCCCCCAACAATCTTAAAAGTATACAAACCTTGCAGATGGATATAATAATCTCATCAGAGAACAGATGGTTCTAGACTGGAACATGCAGTCAGTCTCATTCTGCCTACAAAACAAGCCTTCAGCCAGTGTTCTAACAGGATCCCACCTGGCATGCATTTCCTCTACTTTACACAAAGTTTGAAAACATGTGGAATAAGCAAACACTTGAAAATGAGAGAAATCACACACACACACACACACACACACACACACACACACACACACACACACACACACACACACACTCACACACACACACACAAACTCAGTAGCAATGAGGACTAGTTTCCTACCTATCTACAACTGACTGGGGCCATGTGTGATAGCTGGCACTCCGGCTTGGCCACACCCTCTCAGGTTGGTAGTAATTTCTACCCTTGCCTATTATCTTCCTGGTCTTCTCGATTCCTTATGCAGATGAGGCTAAATTTCACATAAACATTTGTTTATGCACCGTGTGTGTGTGTGTGTGTGTGTGTGTGTGTGTGTGTGTGTGTGTGTGTCTGTCTGTCTGTCTGTCTGTCTGTCTGTCTGTCTGTCTGGTGGAGGTTAGAGGATAACTAATTGGAGTCAATTCTCTCCTTCTACCATATGGGTTTGGGAGTTAAGCTTGGTAGCAAGTACACACTGAACCATTTCCTTGACCCACATCAGAGATCTTCACTCCGGTTTTTGTTTTGTTTTGGAGGGTTTCTTTGTGTAGCCCCAGCTGCCCTGGAACTCACTCTGTAGAGCAGCCTGGCCTCGAACTCAGAGATCTACCTCTGCCTCCTGAGTGTTGGCATTTAAAGGCATGCACCACCACTGTCCAGCTTGACTCCAGTTCTAAAGGAAATGCTGGAAAATGCTGACCTACAGCTGATCACAGAGCACCCAACGCAAACAGAACTTAAAAGGGCCTGTTGTCTTCAACACACTCGGGCTCTGCTTTCTCCCCCAGTTCTCCTCTGAGACCATTAGGCCGTGATATTTTTGCTTTATGCAGTCCAAGCTGGCCTCGAATTGCCTATATAACCAAAGGTGACCTTGAACTTCTGATCCGCCTGCTTCCACCTCCCAAATTCTGGGACGACAGGCATCTGCCACCATGCTTGGTTTATTAGGTGCTGAGGGATGAACCTGCACCCCAGGACTCCATGCATGCTGGGTAGGTGTGCTACAGTGGAACTGCACCCTCCAGCCCCCCGGGGATGTAGAGACCTAGGATGGATGTCATCACTTTATGTGGTTACTGAGTGCTACACTTGAGTGGGGCTGATCCACTTAAAAACTAATTTAGGGTCTGAGAGGTGGTTCAGTGGGTAAAAACAGCCAGCTGTGCCAGCCTGATGACCTGAGTTCAATTCCTAGAAATTATAGTGGGGAGAGCAGGGAAAAGAGCAGGTTTCTGAAAGTTGTCCTCTGACCTTTACACACGGGCTGAGGCACACTTTTGCCCACAGTCACACAGAAAAATAAATAAAATAATTGAGCTCTCAGGAGTTTCCCTGCTTAGCCCAAACTAAAATAACATTTCCTTGGGAGGTCTCTTTCTTCTGTGCAGGAGAAGGACTAGTGCCTCCCACGTGCCGGGTGCATTAGTTACTTTTCTCTGGCTGTGACCAATCCTGATAAAAACAGCTTATGGGGAGGTTTGTTTGGGCCTGGGTTAAAGGGGTTCCTTTATCAAGGACAGCACAGTGCCTGGCCACATTGTGTCTGTCATCAGGAAGCAGAGAAAGACCAACACTGGTGCTCAGCCAGCTTCCTCCAGACCCACGGCTAGGGTGGGTCTTACCTCTTGGGTCAAATCAACCCAGAAACTGTACAGAGGTTTGTCTCCTAGTGACTTCAGCTCTGCCAAGTTGATAATGAAGAGTGAGTATCACCTCACTGGGCAGGTGCTCTACCACTCAGCTATAACCCAGCCTTGTCTGCTGTGTGTGTATGTGTTTAAAGATTTATTTTATTTTTGCTTATTTATTAATTCACTATGTAGCCCCGGCTGGCCTGGAGCTTGCTATGTAGACGAAGATGGCCTGAAACTCACAGAGATCCACCTGCCTCTGCCTCCCAAGTGCTAGGATTAAAGGTGTGTACTATAACATCCAGCAATATTTATTTTAAAATGCATTTATTTATTTTATGTGTATGAGTGTTTTGCCTGCATGTATGTATGTGCACGCCTGCTGCCTGCAGGGTCCAGCAGAGGGTGTCAGATCCCCTGGAACTGGAGTTTTAGATTATGAGGTACTTGTGGGTGCTGGAAATGAAACCCAGGTCCTCTGAAGAGCAGCCAGTGCTTTTAGCCACAGACATCACTCCAGTTTTATTATTTTGTTTTTAATTATGTGTATGTCTGTATATTATGGGTTTGTGCATGTGCATGCAGGTGCCTGTGGAGGCCAGAGGTGTCAGATATTCCTGGAGCTGCAGCTACTGGCAGTTGTGAGCCACCTTAGATGGGTGCTGGGAACTGAACCCAGCTCCTCTGCAAGAGCAGCAAATGTGTGTAACCACCCAGCCACCTCTCCAGCTCCTTGTCTGGTGCATAACTTGAAATGTGAATGTAAAAAATTTAATGAGTTCTGACATTAATGACAACAATTGGGCTAATGTCTTACACTTATTACATACTAAATATAGTTTTATATAGCAATGCTACATATTAAATGTATATTATATAAATAACATAAAATCAACCCATTGTTATGAACATCTGGATGAATTTCTGGCAGTAACTGAAATTGAGATACCTTAGGTTTGAAGATATTTCTTTATATACATTAAAAATAATTCAATGACAGGTCCTCTGGAAGAGCAGCCAGTACTCTTTTTTGGGGGGCGGGGTTCGAGACAGGGTTTCTCTGTGGCTTTGGAGGCTGTCCTGGAACTAGCTCTTTTAAACCAGGCTGGTCTCGAACTCAGAGATCCACCTGCCTCTGCCTCCCGAGATCTGGGACTAAAGGCGTGCACCACCAACGCCCAGCTCCAGCCAGTACTCTTAACCACTGAGCCGTCTCTCCAGCCCCACAAAATTGTTGTACATTCATATTCACTCGACCATGCCACAGCTGGGTGACCAAGTGACCCATAATGGAACATGTGTGACTTCTAGTTTTGCTGCTGACGGCCCTTTGATAGATGAAAGACCGGTAGGCCACAGTACGATGCTTCCCACATAACAGGAAGGCTCCAGAGGAGAGCTTTCCTGATATGCATGCTTATGAAATATCCTAAGACATTTGGGAAACAAAAAGAAAGGGAAGCCAGGAGTCAGAGTGATTTTACAAGCCAGAGGGAAGGTATTAGCTGCTGTACAGACAAGAGCATTAAGTTGATAACAGCCGATGGCCTTTAGTTGATAACTGTATGGATTTCCAGTTAAGTGACTGCTGCTTGCTGAGGATTCCTTCAGTCATTAACGGTTTGTAATGAGCAAAGTCAGACTGGAAATGCTGTAAATCCTCTGTAGTTAGGAAATACAGACATTAAAGGTATGGGGCGGGAACTCCACTCCAAACTTTCTGGCTTAGTTTTGTTTCTTAGAATTGTTTGTGAATGGCCAGCAGGCATTGCAAAGAGCCAACTGCCATTCCAGAAAAATAAAAAGAACTGACTTCCACAATACACACGCGCGCGCGGGCACACACACACACACACACACACACACACACACACACACACACACACACACACACAGAGAGAGAGAGAGAGAGAGAGAGAGAGAGAGAGAGAGAGGCATGCACACATGGCCAATAATAAAGAACACTTACTCCACACTCTTGGGACAAAAGAACAGTAAAACCCAGATCCAGTGATTTCATTATGACTCTTGCTTGGGAACAGATGGTTGTGAGCCACCACAAAGGTTCTGGGAACTGATAGAGCAAGTGTTCTAACCTCTAATTTCTCCACACCCAGCCATCTCTCCAGACCCCTGCCTTAGTCTTAAGACCAATGAAGAAATGAAGGAGTCAATAATGTCATAGACATTTGTAAAATTTTTTGTTTGTTTTTGTTTTTTGAGATAGGGTTTCTCTGTTTAACAGTCCTGACTGTCCTGGAACTCTCTTTTTAGACCAGGCTGGCCTTGAACTCACATGCCTTGAACATCTCCATGCCTCCGCCTCCCTAGTGCTAGTATTAAAGGCCTGTACCACCACTGCTTGGCTATCAACAATCATTTCACATACATATTTGTGCTCTTGGGTCTCATGTATGCAGGCTGTTCTGGAACTCACTATGTAGCTGAGGCTGGCTTTGAACTCCTAATCCTCCTCTGTGGTGATTTGAATGGGACATTTTCCCCTTAGACTCACATATTTGTACACTTCACCCTGGGCTGGTGGTAGGTACTATTAGGGAGGTTATGGAACCTTTAAGAGGTGGAGCCTGGCTGGAGGAAGTATGTCACTGGGGGCGGGCTTTGAGGGTTTATAGCCTCACCCCACTTCCAGTTTGCCCTCCTTGCTTCTGGCACGCACACAGAAACATGATCTCTCAGCTTCCTGTTCCGGCCCCCTTACCCACTGTGTCCTGCCGCCCCAAGCCACCATGGTTGGCTCTTAATCCTCTGGAACCATACGCCAAAATAAACTTTCTTCCATGAGTTTTTTTTTTTTTTTTTTTTTTTTTTTAATAATAGAAAAGTAGCCAACCTTGGTTAATCTTTTAAAACTATTCATTGAGGAGCAACAGATGCCGTGCAGTGGTAGACTGCGTGTTTAGCATGTCTGAGGCCCTGGACCTGAATCCCAGCAGTGCCCTCCAAAACATTCACAAATGCTAAATAAACTGGGTGAGGTGGACCATGCCTGTAATCCCAGCATCTGGAATGTGAACCAGGGGATCTGAAGTTCAGGTCCTCCTCCACTATGTACTGAGTTTAAGGCCAGCCCGAGCTACGTGAAACCCTGTCTCAAAACAACTGAAATGTTGCAAACTCTAAGGAACCACGGAGCTAAGGCCATTTCCAACAGAAGGGTTAAACAAGCAAAAGTGATGAAAATGAATCGATAATTACAAAATCAGTGTTTCGGTCAGTGAGATGGCTGGCTAGTCTGGAAACCTGAGCTTCATCCCCAGGATTGAATGGTGGAAGGAGAGAATCAACTTCTGCAAGTTGTCCTCTGATCTACATAAGTGCCATGGACACACACACACACACACACACACACACAGAGAGAGAGAGAGACAGAGACAGAGACAGAGACAGAGAGAGACAGAGAGAGACAGAGAGAGACGGTAAATTTTGTGTTCTGAATATTTTACTTTGACTTTAAAAGTTGGTGATGTCACTGGCATCTGACCCCTAATGTTTCAGGACTGTGATGACTTACTCTCAACAAGGACTTGTCATTTTATAGCTACCCCCTCTTAGAACAGGTGGCAGTGAACGTACCCACAATCAAGGTGATGCCCATGCTCAGGGAGCTGACCCAGGCGGTGAGGCCACGGCTCTGCTGGAACTCTTCAAGCCACTCCACATTGAGGACTCCCAAGGCCATCTGTGAGCCCATGATGAGCATGTGCACAAAGAAGGACGAAAGGACCATGACCCAGGCCCACCCGCCGTCAATGTCTGGGTGGGGCTTCAGGGGCTTCTTAGCCTTGGGGTCATCGTCAAGGACATACCCGATATCTTCATGACTTGTATACATTTTCTAAGGTTTCCTGAAACACACGAAGGAAATAATTTCATCACACATGGACACAGAAAATACCTTCCTCGTATTGGGACAGCTCCACCTCCCACTGAGATCAAAGCGGCTTCAGGGTCAAATGATGCTCAGATAAGTGTTTGTCACTGGTGGGTCTGGGGACACATTTTACATATTTACAGATCACTTTGAAGTCTGTCTTTAAAATCACCACACAGAGCCGGGCATTGGTGGCACATGCCTTTAGTCCCAGCATTCTGGAGGCAGAGGCAGGTCTCAGGAAACCATCCCCACAGCTCCTATACTTATCTTTACTGCAAACTTACATGGCAGCTATTTCAGAGAACTCCTAGTTTGACCTCACAAGTGGCCCCAAGTCCCATGTTACTTGGAGAGTAAGCTCTTAAGAGGCTGAGCAATGGGAGCCTGCCTCAGAATGATCTGGGCTACAGCCTATGAACTTGAGGTGAACAGAGCAGCACTTTTGAAAAAAAAAAAAAAAAAAAAAAAAAAAAAAAAAAAAAAAAAGAAATAATGAAAAGGAGAGCAAGGCTGTGAGGTGAAAGGCTGGTCTGGAGAGTGACATTTTCAGTCAATATATATAAAACAATGGTTCGCTCACTTTGACTATTTTCTTTGAAATTGAAATCAACTTTGATTTATGTCAGAACAGAGGGTTGTGGCTGAGTGGAAGTGCACTGACCCAGAGTGAGTGAAGTCCTGGGTTTGCCTTCCAGTACCATAAAAACCAAATAGAAGATGGAAAACCAGGGACTGGACAGACGGCTCAGTGCTTAAGAGGACTTGCTCTTCTTCCATGAGGCCATAGGTTCGGTTCCCAGCACGCATATCATGAGGCTCATAACTGCCTGTAACTCCAGTTCCAGGGCATCCAGTACCTTCCTCTGGCCCCTGCAGGTACTGCAGACATGGTACACAGACATTCAGACACATGCACACATACATATATACATACATACACAATACATATTTTTTCAAAATTAAAGCATCTGAAAATATAACAAGTAAAAAAGTGGAGATCAATCAAGGAAGACACTTAACACTGATTTTTGATCTCCATGACCAAATGTAATACACTCACCTACACATATGTGCAAAGCCACGGACATATACATAAACAAAATAAAAGGATAGTTTTCCAATCTACAGAAAAGTATTTTTCTGTGGAAATGTTAAGAACTTTATATTCGGGCCAGGCGTTGGTGTCGCATGCCTTTAATCCCAGCATTTGGGAGGCAGAGGCAGGATGATCTCTGTGAGCCTGGTCTACAAGAGCTAGTTCCAGGACAGGCTCCAAAACCACAGAAAAACCCTGCCTCAAAAAACCAAAAAAAAAAAAAAAAAAAAAGAACTTTATATTCTTACTGAATTATTTATTTTGTGGGCTAAAAATATGGTTGTTAGGCCCGGTGTGTGCACACCTTTAATCCCAGCACTTGGGCAGAAGCAGGCAGATCTCTGTGAGTTTGAGGCCAGCCTGATCTACAGAGCAAGTGCCAGGATGGGCTCCAAAGCTACACAGAGAAACCCTGTCTTGAAAAACCAAAATAATAATAATAATAATTTATTTGTATTTTATTTACATTGGTGTTATGCCTGCATGCATGTCTGTGAGACAGTGTCAGACCCCCTGGAACAGGAGTTATAGATGTTTGTGAACTGTCATGTGGGTGCTAAGAATTGAACCCAGGTCCCCCTGGAAGAGCAGCCAGTGCTCTTAACTGCTGAGCCATCTTTCCAGCCCCACATATACACATTTAAAAAATGTGAAAGATCTTTAAATAAAAAATAAAAGTCATAAATGGGGGAGGGGTGGCACTAAAGCGACAAATGTAGGGCTACATAATGGAGTAATGGGGAAAATGAAAACGTCTATAATATTAAAATATAATTAACTTTTTACAATTCTGTCACCGGAGGAATTTTTACAAGCAAGTTTTTTATTTAATAACTTATTTAACATTATTTTATGTGCATTGGTGTGAAGGTAACAGATCCCTTGGAACTGGAGTTACAGACGGTTGTGAGCTGCCACGTGGGTGCTGGGAATTGAACCCAGGGCCTCTGGAAGAACAGTCAGTGCTCTTAACCTCGGAGCCATCTTTTTTTTGGTTTTTCGAGACAGGGTTTCTCTGTGTAGCTTTGGCGCCTATCCTGGCATTCGCTCTGGAGACCATGCTGGCCTCGAACTCAGAGATCCTCCTGCCTCTGCCTCGGGAGTGCTGGGATTAAAAGTGTGCGCCACCAACGCCTGGCTCCTCTGAGCCTCTTTCCAGTCCCAAGTTGTTCATTTTTAATTGGGCTGTCACTATGTCGAACATTCTATGAACTAATTATAATGAGTGGCAAAAGGGGGTGCGTGACAAGTTAAAACTAAAATTACAGTCTCTTCCCAAAGGAGTCAGAGCTTCCGGTAGGCATGTGAATTCCTCAGCTCTAGTCTAAAACAGTTCAACACAGGGAATTTCAAGCCGGTAGAGGGCGCGCTCCAGACCAAGAGGCTGCGGAGCTGAAAAGAAAGGCAGCCTAGTGTAGTCAGTGAACTCCAGCTTGCCATTGGGTTGGGGACCGGGTGTTGTAAGAGAAATGCTACCAATGAGCCAGGGCTGTGCTCAGTGGCTTTTGCCACAACGATCTTGGCCGGTTGGTATTGAGGTACCAAACAACCCCGTTTTACCGATAAGACAACTGAAACATATTTGTGTGTTTGACAGGGTCTCACGTAGCCCAGGCTGGCCTCAGGTTGGAGGATGACCTCGAACTTCTCATCCCCCTGCAGGATGAATGCTGTATTACAGTGCTGGATTTAGGCAGTGCTGGGGAAATTGAACCCAGGGCCTCATGCATGCTAGGCAGACACCCTACCAACGGAGGTACAACCCCGTCCTGAAAGTGAGCCAGTTGTTTAATGGGTGCCCTCCAAATATTAACAAACCTATACTCAGTCTTAACCTCTTCTCCGCACCATCCCCTCCCTTTCTCCCTTTCCCTCATCCCCTCTCCTTTGACCAGGCGAAGGAGAATCTTTCTAATCCCTAATAAGCACCCCGAGCCATCCTTGCTAATGAGCCTGAGGCTGAACCAACTTTTCCGCAGGAAGAAAGGGCTTAATTGGTAAGAAGAGATGAGCTCATAAAACCTCGTCAGACTGGCAGCCCCTGCCCTTAATGGTCTGAGTCTTCCCCTTTCCTCTCTGGAGATGCTGGATCCGAGCGGCTCGCGGGGGCTCAGCATCCGCCGCCCTGGTCCATCTGCGCGCGATGCTGTACCCCCGAGTCTCCATCTCCACCAGGGGACCCCGACACAGAGACACCCGCGCCCCCGGAGGTCGCTAGCTGTAGCTCCATCACTGTCTACTTCGAGCAGTAAACCGGGGCCTCGAGAGCCCCGGAGCGCCAGGCCGGGCGCGGAGGCGACGCGCGTTCTGGTGCCAGGGAGGCGCGCGACGCCCTGGACCGTGCGCATCCCCGCCTGCAGCTCTGGGGGACAAGGGAGTACCGCCGCCCTGCCCAGGTCCCTGTCTTCTCCCATCCTGTCCCGGGTTCTCGCCCGGTGAGGGTCCCTGGTGGAGCCGTGGCCGCCAGTATCGACCGGTATCTACCAGTATCTGCCGGCTCGGAGATGCTCCAACCCTTCAGTCCCTGGCCTCGGCTCAGCACAGCACCAGGGTACTCACCGCAAGCACCCCGCAGGGCTACGGTCTCACTCGGCTCCTAGTCTCAACCAGTGAACTTGAAGGTCCACTCCAAGAACCCCTAGGCTCTGGGCTTGGGTATTGGTAGCAATATCAACCAGCATCCTGTAGATGCGGCGCCTGGGGCTCGGTTCTACGCCCGGCTCCGTGCGCTCGCTCGGTGAGGGGCTCCCGGACTCGACCTCCGCTTGCTGTCTGGCCAGGTGAACCTTCTGGAGCCTAAAGGCTTCCGTCCGGGAGCCTTTAAAAAGGGTGCCTTTTTAAAGGATCCGAGCCTACCCGAAGCTTCCTTCCAATCCCTGCAATTTCAGATCTCCACGCTGGTTCATCCCTATACCGGCTAATTCTGGTTTGGCAGGGAAAAAAAAAAAAAAAGAATCTGCGGGCTCCTCACAGGCACACTCTTGTGGCCGGTTGAAGTTTATCCCGTGGCTAAGATTCGTCAATGCTGTGCACATTTGCAACCTTAGGAAATGGCCAGAAATCTCAGGGGTGTGTGGGAAATCAGAAGTACCCTCCCCTGTTTTTTTTTTTTTTTTTTTTTTTTTTCTGGACCAGGAGGGAAGTAACAAGACCTTCGTATGAATCTCCGCCAAAAAAGAGCTGTTTGTAGAGCGAAGAAAAGGAATTTCAATACTCATGGTCACAGTGGACTGAAAATCCCTCATTTTCGTCCCAGCCTGGGTACCTTCGCTTTCCATCTTGCTGTAGTACCTGTTATCTGCACTCATAGGCAGGCAACATAATGCTTTGCTCTCGGAGAATTTTTAGTGTTTTGTTAAATAAACGAAACAGGCGCTTTTTAACCTAACCTGACCGGTTCTATTCTTTCCTGCTATAAATTACCACAAACATAGTGGCTGAAAGCAACCCAAATTTCTTATTTTACATTCCTGGCAGTCAGAACCCGAAGTGGGGCCTTACTGGACTAAAATGCAGTTGGCACTCCGAAGGCTGTGTTCTTCCTGGCAGCTCCAGCTGAGCCACCAGCTTCTCCAGGCTGCCCACATGCCCTGGCTGGCAGCCACTTCCTCGTCCTCAGAACCATCTACATTGCATCATTCTGTCTGTCTTGGTACTAGGTCACTTTCTCTCCATTGTTTGCCCCTCTCTCTTCCTTTTTCATTCGAATTCTTTTAAACATGTAAAATGTATTTACTGGGTGTGTACGTGCTTGCATGCCGCCGTATGTGTGTGGAGGCCAAAGGACAGCTTTCGGGAGGCGGTTTTCCTTCCACCTCGTGGGTTCTGGGGATTAGACAGGCATTGGTAGCAGAGGCCCTTC